TGCTGGGCAAAAAGAGACAAATGCAGTCATGATATTAGAATTGATCCTGGGGTCTGGCCACAACCGTAGGGACCTAGTTTCTGAGTCACAGCTTGGAAACAGTTGAGATCCCCACCCCATAACCATACATAAAATTGCTGGGCATGAAAAATTGAATACAGATATATATGCTACAAGGATTGGCCTTGGGGTCTGGCATATTCCCTTGGATCTCATTTGGAGAATATTCTGCCATGATTGCTTAGATATCCAGGTGGGCGATACAGGCCCTATGGGCCTCTTGTTATTATTACATGATTCAACAATATAATTGGTAGGCTGTTCTTTTGTTTATGCAAGTGAAAAAGTTTCCAAGTAAATAGAATATGTTCATTCAGAGCTACATAGTTATGCAATGATTTGTAATATAACATGTAGTCCTCTGTATATTAGATCTACCGTATTTGATCACAAACAAACCTTAGACCTCACTCGTACAGGTACTACCATAATGTACCATACACCTGGTCCTTGGCAGCATGACTATAAAACATGATGTATCATTACTCGACTTACGATAAAATGTTATAATATACAAATGTATTTATAACTGTTAATAATATGTCATGTTACTGAGCATGTCAATCAAATTATTTGCATTTTCTTGATTGTAAAAGAACGACATAAGTAAAAGTACCTTGCAAGAATCAATATATACATTATAATGTGCAAATGTTCATCCAAGACCAGTAGGTTAGGTACATAAATACTATTGTATTGCATTACATTTCCAGTATATAGCTTCATTATAAAATTATTCCAGGAACAGATGAACGGCATGTACATATTTGATTCTCATGTTATTCTTGCATTTTGTGAGATGAGAGGAAAAGTGTCAAAATGACACTCATCATGTTGCATTCATATATATGTACACACCACGAAAAAAAGATACAATAGTTAACATACTTTGCAACAGTGTTTACATGAACACAGGGGTTTTGTCAGGTGTATGGGGAATCGGCCATTGTCCTTAAAGTGGAAAATGTGTCAGAAGTTTGCTACAAATTGGAAAAACATAAGTACACAAGTTTTTGTGTAATTCGGAAAGAATACTTTCCCTTTAGTAGAGTGTTTGCCTGGCAGTTTGACTTAACTTCTGTATAGTTGCTAATATTCACGAGGGTTAAAATTTGCGAAATTAAAACCATCTTAAATATTTTGAGATCATCATCATAACATCCACGCTTCACACCTCCATGAAATCAGTTGAGCTGAGGCTACTAGATCAAGACATCGTATGGAACGAAGAACACTATACAAAATAGTGAGCAGGTAAATCGAAATTTTTAAAAAAATCTTATATCGTGGGTCATAACAATTGACAGAGTTGGAACATTGAGGTTGAAATTTGGAGAATATAGGGCCAAATTTCACATGACAAAATCCCTGGTACATACCTCTTTTCAGTATTTACATACCTTCTAACAGTATACAACTACATATAACAAAAACACTGATTTAAATAACAATCCAAAAGCACCAGTTTGTTTCCCAAAAAGAGATATAATGTAAATTGAATGTCACAACCAAATCCACAATTGTTGAAAAAAACAAATACTTGCAAAAAATATTTAAATTTTGGGTTTCAAAATATTTTAATTATGCATAACATAAATTGCATTGATTGCATATAACAAAGTCAAATACACTGTATATAGCTTTGAACTTGTGTAGGGTTATTTCTATATGTTTCAGGGAGAAAATCAATATTTCTGCATTGTAGAATTATGTACAACTGTTCAGTCTATGATATTTTAACACAGTGAAATGGTTTAACTATTAGATGTGCACTTATCCCTATAGTATTAATTCCTGTAGTATTTTTTCTACTTTGAATACTACAGTAGAGTTTTTGAAAAACAATGAAACATGTAATGTGTATTAACATTTTAACAGTTAATTGTAATTATACATTGTAACTTTCATTGTCTGTAACCTTGTAATTAATGCCTGCAACTGGAAATTTCTACTGCATCGTTATATCGTTGATTGAATACCAGATAATCCTCCAGCGAAAATAACAATGCCATGAAAAAATACCTCGTTCACAGTATGTGAAAAACTTAATGTTGTACGTCTTATACCATAGGCTCTTTTGGCGTTTCAGATCAGTAGAGTAAAAAATATGTATTGAAAACACATTCAAAAAGTTTAAAATAAGCTTCTTTCATAAATTTAAGAAACTATTTAGATAAAATGTATTTTTTTTCCAAACATCTGTGCCATCTAGATATTCAACTGATAAATATCAGTCAATGACACAGAATCAAACAAAATGTGGTAATAAATGACTTCAGGCCTATAGGGCAAACAAAGATATACACACCCCAGGTCTAAAGGAGACGTTCATGATACAACAATCCTCAGGAGACCAGGGGAGGTTTTGTGGCATAATGCACACCAGGGGAATAAGGGGAGTTTACAGTATAACAACCCCTAGGGGAATTAGAGCAGTTAACAGTATAACAATCCCCAGGGGACGGGGGGAGATTTTGTGGCATAATGAACACCAGGGGAATAAGGGGTATTTAAAGTATAACAATCCCTAGGGGACTGGGGAGAGTTTGTGGTAAAACAATCCCCAAAGGCTGAGTGCACGCGTACGTGGTTCACAATAAATCTATAACAAACCCCAGGGGACTATGCATGGGAAAGTTCATACTATAACAAACCCCAGGGGACTATGCATGGGAAAGTTCATAATATAACAAACCCCAGGGGACTATGGGAAAGTTCATAATATAACAAACCCGAGGGGACAATGGGAAAGTTCATAATATAACAAACCCCAGGGGACTATGGGAAAGTTCATAATATACATGTAACAAACTCCAGGGGACCATGGGAAAGTTGATACTATAACAAACTCCAGGGGACAGTGGGAAAGTTCATGATAAAACAAACCACAGGGGAGTATGGGAAAGATCATACTATAACAAACCCCAGACTATGGGAAAGTTCATGAAATAACTGGACTAATTGATTGATTGGTTTTACTTCTGCTTCACGACCAAGTTGTTTGGTTATCGAGCAGGCGATAATACCCAGGGGACTATGGGAGAGTCCATACTATAACTGTCCCCAGGTGACTATGGGAAAGTCCATAATATAACAAACCCCATGGGACAATGGGAAAGTTCATACTATAATAAACCCCAGGGGACTATGGGAAAGTCCATACTATAACAAACCCCAGACTATGGGAAAGTTCATGAAATAACTGGGCTAATTGGTTGATTGGTTTTACTTCTGCTTCACTTCCAAGTTGTTTGGTTATCGAGCAGGCGATAATTCCCAGGGGACTATGGGAGAGTACATACTATAACAAACCCCAGGGTACGATGCATGGGAAAGTTCATACAATAACAAACCCCAGGGGACTATAGGAAAGATCAAAAAAAAACAACCCCCAGGGGAATATGGGAAAGTTCATAATATAACAACCCCCAGGGGACAATGGGAAAGATCATAATATAACAAACCCCTGGGGACTATGCATGGGAAAGTTCATCATATAACAAACCCCAGGGGCCTATGGGAAAGTTCATAATATAACAAACACAAGGGGACTATGGGAAAGTCCATAATATAACAAACCCCATGGGACAATGGGAACGTTCATAATATAACAAACCCCTGGGGACAATGGGAAAATTCATAATATAACAAACCCGAGGGGACAATGGGAAAGTTCATGATAAAACAAACCACAGGGGACTATGGGAAAGATCATACTATAACAAACCCCAGACTATGGGAAAGTTCATGAAATAACTGGGCTAATTGGTTGATTGGTTTTACTTCTGCTTCACTTCCAAGTTGTTTGGTTATCGAGCAGGCGATAATTCCCAGGGGACTATGGGAGAGCCCATACTATAACAAACCCCAGGGGACTATGGGAAAGTTCCTAATATAACAAACCCGAGGGGACTATGGGAAAGTTCCTAATATAACAAACCCGAGGGGACAATGGGAAAGATCATAATATAACAAACCCCTGGGGACAATGGGAAAATTCATAATATAACAAACCCCTGGGGACAATGGGAAAATTCATAATATAACAAACCCCTGGGGACAATGGGAAAATTCATAATATAACAAACCCAAGGGGACTATGGGAAAGTCCATACTATAACACACCCCAGGGGACTATGGTAAAGTTCATAATATAACAACCCCCAGGGGAGAATGGGAAAGTTCATAATAAAACAAACCCCAGGGGAATATGGGAGAGTCCATACTATAACAAACCCCAGGGGACTATGGGAGATTCCATACTATAACAAACCCCAGGGGACTATGGGAGAGTCCATAAAATGACAAGCCCTAGAGGACCTGGGGATAATTGCCAATAAACAGAATTGTAGTTAAAACCACAATTTTCCAACTTTATTATCAGCTTATCTTGAAGCTGTAAATGACATCTGAAATTTACCATATATTAGCTGTTTTCAATATAAATTCTGCATTTCAAAATATTCATTCGTTTTTACCGTTTCAGTACTTCATACTAAACCAACAAATAAATATCACTACTCATGTGAAAGGAAGAAAATAAAGTAATAAACAATAACGAATCCACATGTTTCAAGCTTCCACATGTTTCAAGCTAATCATTATATGTCATTATCCTTATTGCACAATTTCACAAAATATTAAGATCAGTAGTAATGCCCTTCAACTGTTCTAACGAAATTGAAATCTTTCAACTTGAAAAGAAAAGTTATGACATTGAAACTTATTACCAGAATACCAGACAAGTTTTTTGTTTGTCTTTGAATTGAATTAATATAAGGAATGCAAATGACTGCACTATTTTAATTTAGTGAGAATCGCTGGTTTTACACCAAGCCTTTGTATGTTGTTAGGTATTATACATCACTGTCCGTCATGTGTTCCAGGATGTTATTCCAGCCTCTTTTGGACAGAAATCTGTACCCTTTCCCAGCCAGGTATTCAATGGTTTCTGCAGGAGTTTCCCATTGACGTTCGTGTAAATCCTCATAGATAATAAAGGCTGGCCGGTACCCAAGTTCCATAAAGCTATGGAGAATCTGTAAATACATAAAACATGTCCTCTACTTATGGTAACCATGTGTGTGTAAAAAGAAGGGATTATTTTCCATCTGTATATCATCAACGACGATGCATACAGTACTTCCAATTGTATTTTTCCTCTCTTTCAGTCTTTGAAATTGTAAAAGGAAATGAATAATTAATTCATTTGTTAAATTGCCTTTACTGGGTGAATAATTTGTTTCGTTATAATAAAACACTTATAGAATGGGTAATATTCAGGAAATAGCAAATTTATGGTCACCCTTGGTGAAAAACTATTCCCCTCGATGGCTTCGCCGCCTCGGGAAATAGTTTTTCACCTCGGGGGACCATAAATGTGCTATTTCCCTCCTACCCATTCTATAACTGTATATTATTATACCTCTACTTATTTTACACTATACCAAAGTAACCACATAAACAAGCTATTTCCCCTCTAACTGCATGCCAGGGAAATAGCTCGTCTGGAAGGGTGCGATAGTTTTGAAACTATTTCCCTCGGAAAATGCGGGAAATTGAGTGACATCTTGGGCGGGGTCTATCCGAATATTGACCAATCAGCGTAATCAAATTAATTCAGAATTCGCATTTATGTTATTGCTAATTTTCAAGCAAAAACTGTGATTTATTGTTTATTGTACATGTGATATCCTTTATTTCATGCTATTGCAAATACTGTTTTTTTCTGATGTTGATTCTCAAGAAAATGTTAGTTTTGTTAAAGTGTCCCAACTGTTGAAAATTTGTTGTCTAATAATATTTAGAATATTGTAAGGGAGTGTTTGTATCGGTATAATAAAATAGTTGAAGCATGGGTATTTCGGGATATAGCAAGTTTATGATCCCCCTCGTCCAGGACTATTTCCCTCGGCTTCGCCTCTGGAAATAGTCCTGGCCTCGAGGGATCATAAACTTGCTATATCCCTCATACCCATACTTTAACTGTTACCTATAGTATAGTAAAACTCCACTTACTCAAACCTGTGGGGTCTAGTTGAATAGTTAGAGGAAACTGTGGCATCATATATTATACTATAGTATAGTAAAACTCCACTTACTCAAACCCGTGGGGTCTAGGAAACTGTGGCATCATATATTATACTAAAGTATAGTAAAACTCCACTTACTCAAACTTGTGGGGTCTAGTTCAATAGTTAGAGGAAACTGTGGCATCATATCAATGAAATGGTGGCTGGTTTAAGATTAAAATCATCTATTTTACATCGGGACGAATGTCGAACAGCTCTGCTAACGTTTAGCATGATGCCGATGGTGATTCTATATGCACCATGGTAAGTAATTGAAAGGAAAGAAATATTTGTGACATTTTATAAGATACGAAACTGTTCAATGATTAATTGATCATAGATGTAATCGGTAACCCTACCTACAACCCTATTTTTTTTGTGCATACCCTAAAACATTTTAAGGCAATTGTCAAAGAAGCAAAGTTAAAGTCAAGATCACTCTCCTATACAAACCATATCCAATTATATGTTGAAATAAATTTGTTACCTACCTACGTATATACCTACCCCTTAATTTTCCCAACATATTCCACGAAACATATATATATTTTGTCTGGCCTTTAGTGACAATCAATTTCTGATGAAAGTGAGTGTACATGTCAAACTAGTCATCAACACATCACAATTAAACATTTCACTGATTGTGCTTTATGAATTTGTATAAAATTCTTGCTCAGAGAAAGTGAAGTTTGAATTTTTCAGTTTAGGACAGTAAGAACAAACCATTAAATGTGTTCAGCTACATCTGTTGCAGTAATTGTAAATATCTGCACTATTGGTTAGATTAGTCGTAATTGTTAGAAGTGTGAAATCTTACTGTGTTTCCACCACCTTCAGCGTCAATAGACAGAATACCGAAGTAGCGTGGGATGCCGTACTTTGTGACAAAAGTCTTTACACTGAGACTCTGGACCTTGATTAGACTCTGGCGAAGCTTTTTGTCGTACAAGTCCCTCTCCTGGAGGACATGGCCTTCCATCGATACCATGTCGTCAGTATTCACGAAGTCCACCATAGCATCGCTGTTACCGATGATTGCCTCCACAAACCTCACAGTCTGGTTGCCATCTCGATACGGATTGTTGTACCTGTAAAGGAAACAAAAGTGGGTAAAATTCTTTAGACAGGTATCTATGCTGGAGAAGTGACTCAAAGGATTGAAGTCTGTGTCTAACAATTGTCAAAGGTTCAGTCAATTTGACCTCCAGTCTGACAAAGATGCACATGGTGCTGGCTTCAACAAGAACATAATGACTTCTGATTCAAAGCCATTCCTTGCATATATTACAGCAACCAGTTTTTCGGGCAAATCCATTCTTATTGACATTATTTACTTACAGGGGATTGAATAATAGAAATAGTGACCTTGACCTCAACTTCTGACCCATCAATCTAAAATGCAATTCTGCCTGCTTTCAAAATATATAATGTAATCGGGTGAGGCCTCGTGCCATCATGTCCAGACAGCGTGACATTTAAAATGATCCTTGGAAGATTCCATAATTAGTAACACTACAGCATTGTAAGGTTGTACATGCATACCAACAAAAGACAGGAAGCCCAGAGGGCCTGTATTGGTCACCTGGATATTTGAGCAATCATAGGAAAATATTCTCAATAAAAGTACTTTTTGAGTCTCCTTGGTATAAGAATGTTCCAGACTAAATTAAGCTTTATACTACTCTATCCCAGCATGCTATTGGTCAAATATCATCACCCAGCACCTCCTGGTATTGCATCAGAAGTTGTTTAGTTATTTAGATGTTTGACCCCTGTGACCTTGAAAGAAGGTCAAGGTAATTTATTTGGGGAGACTTTATAGCACTTTGTCCCAATTACCTACTGGCCAAATATCATTGCTCTTGGCCTCTTGGTTATTCAAAAGAAGATGTTTTAAAATTGTTAACACTTTTTACATTTGTGACCTTGAAAGTAGGTCAAGGTAATTTATTTGAGGAACCTACATATATCACTCTATCCAAGGTACCTACATGCCAAGTATCAGCACTCTGGTCTCCTGTTTATTAAAAAGAAGTTATATATAGGTTTTTAACACTTTTTAACCCTGTGACCATAAAAGTAGGTCAAAGTCATTTATTTGAGGAAATTTTATATCACTCTGTTCAAGGTACTTACTGGGCAAGTATCTGTACCCTAGGCCTCCTGGATATACTGAAGAAGTTGTTTAATAAAGGTTTTTACAATTTTGAACCCTGTGACCTTCAAAGTAGGTCAAGGTCATATATTAGAGGAAATTATATAGCACTCTGTCCCAGGTACCTAATGGCCAAATATCATGGTCCAAAGTCCTCCAGGTCTAAAGAAGAAGTCATTCAAAAAATAAGTTGACGATGACGGACAACACACCATAAGCTCAACAGACAGACAGATGGACAGACAGACAGATACGAAAACTTTGCGCTCCCTCCAAATGCAGTTGGTGAACATGTGTATGAAGCTACAGTTGTGCAAAGGGAACTACCACATATAGTGTAATAAAGAAAATGAATAGTGACAGATCATACATACATGCAATGCATGCGATTCAGTTTAACTTGGGGAGGACCCTATTCATCATACTACTGTCTATTGGGATGAGACAGGGGTATCTTAATTCTTGGGAGAAGATTCTTGCATTGCTGAACACTCTGGAAGCCTTGTATGACAACAAAATAATGTTCTCCTTTGGAACGAGTTTCCCAGATCTTTTCTGGCCTTTAAGTCCAGGCATATGTAGCATCAGCTGTAAAACCATGACAATATAACATTGCACTCAAATGACACAAGTACAATGTGAATGCTTTATTTTAATGCTGATATGTCAAATGGAAGACAAAATAACCACACTCTCTTTCCATAGACGAAACGTCCTGGGTTGAGTGACATTTGAAAATTATCAAGCAAATTCGTGGAATTTATATCCCCCGCTTGCAAGACATTGTAGGTAAACATTATTGAGGTTAGGGTTAGAAATATGAGTATCGTGCTGTTGAGACATAATGTATAGCTTGAGACTTGAAGAAAAAAACAAGCCTTATACAGAAGTTAAAGACTTTTTACTGAACATGTAGGTATTACGGTGTAAATTAATCGTTTAATCCATCAGAATTTACTCACCTCATTAATTAACCGTAAATATGCACAAATCACATCGGTTGGCAAACTTAGCATGAGTCGGATGTGCATACAGAATTTGGTTGAAATATCTGCACAATATCTAAAGCAATTATCACACGAAAACCAAGATTGGTGGAAAGACAGAGGAACATAAACATTGTTATTAAGTTTGAAGGAATTTGGCTAATATTTGTTAGAGTAATGATCAAGTGGCCATAACTCTGCCAAATGGGGTCCGGTTGTCAAACTTGGGAGAGCCCTTAATGCGTTGAACCCTGTAACTAAGTTTGAAGACAATCGGATAATATTTGCGAGAGTTAATGAACAGAAACAGCAGATAATGATGTTTTTCGTTATTCAAGGGTCCATAACTCCGCCAAATAAAGTTCGCTGAAAGTAGTCATCGAACTTGGCAGAGCCCTTAAAGCATATAACCCTGTTACCAAGTTTGAAGAAAATCGGTTTACATTTGTTGTAGTTATTGCACGGAAACGAATCGTGACAGACAAACTGACAAACCCAAATTAATATCCCCTCGGTGAAAGCGGGGGATAAACATTATCACAGTGTTCAACGGGTAAACAATACAAATCACTCACTCAGTCATAGCTTGATAAAAGGACCAGTTGGTCTTGTTGAAATGTTGACGGTTAATATGTACATTGTTTTTGTATAAAGTAAAACTTTGATATTATACCACACAGGGTTGATATAGGGTCACTCCTTTTTTTCACTACAATAGACTATCAAAAACAAGTGACCTAGTCACCTTACTTACCTGCGTAGATTGAGCATTGCCATTCTCAGCTGTTTCGTCTGTGGCTCCACAAGGATGGCATCCCATCCCCACTGTATAAAGTTGAAAGAGTTACTGGACAGGAATCCGTCATTAGCACCAATATCTACCACCAGGTGTTCATACATAAACTTCCGTCGTCTTGACAGGCGTCTATACAAAAACAGTGATTCTCCAGAATGGGAAACATCAAGTCCAAGCATCCCAACTTTCATACGATTTGATCCATCTTCTGGAAACGCGACGTACACACGTTCCAAAGTCTGTTGTATCAAGGAAACAAAACCACCTGCCTTCCCTGAATATACAAAATCTCTAACCATTTTACTTTCTGCAAATTTATCGATCCAAGAATTGCTCTGTTTGTTGAGTACCGGGGTGATGTTGTCCTTCATCAGGTGGTATCCGTACATGATGAACATATTAAAGAACATAAGTTCTATAATCAGCACACCAACTACCACAAAACAGCAACATTTGAATACCTTTAGGGGGTGTGTGGCACATACACAGCCTTTCAGGGACCTCCAGTCCCTATCAGGCACCAAGGAGGAAATCTTCAAGTACTTCATTGTAGAGGATAACCAGTAATGTGGTCCAGTTTTGTATTATCTATAATTAGATTTAGATAGTCATGTTGTGCTTGAAGTAATCCCATATCCTGAACTCGTCCCTGTAGGGATTTCCATTCCTTATATCTAACTGCAATGTGTTTATACAATAAATAGAAATTCTGAAATGGAAAATAATAAGTTAAAATCAGTTAAGCACTGAAAGGCTAGGCTTTTCACTAGAACTAAGGACTGAAATAATATACTGAAATATACTAAATGACTCTTCAGCAGATACAAGTTAAAGTTCTTTATTTACCTTAAGCCTTACGACTTATCATGATCGGTGTAAATATATTAAACAGGATATTTACGTATGTATTGCTTGTGCAAACTAAAACAAAATGAAACTCTTCTTCTATATCATTAAGATCACACTTTGCACATAATATATTAGTTCTATCAATGCCAACAGGTAATGCCCAGTTTCAATATTTAATTTGCGAGCTGACAGTCAAAATCAAGCAATTTCTTGTATATGACAGTAATAAAATTGTATCATTTAATTCTCTGTAAATTAAAGCATACCTTTAGAGATACCTGTAATTTCACTATATCCCTCTTGATTAAAAATGTCAAATAATCTTGCCTTAATAATTGAAAATGTGAAATTGTTCCAATTCTGAGCGTCCCAGATATATCCTAAGCCTATAACCGATACAATACATCTTTTATTTCAGACCCATTGATCTTTAATTAGCAGCATATGCGTACCTGCTCAGAGTTTAACCTCCAACATACTTGTAGTACATGTATAATTTACAATAAACTTACCACAATGTCAATAAACTAATGTACCATCGAGGTATTTTGTCACAACTGGCTAAATAATATAACTCATTCACAACTTGACTCACTGTAAGTCATTCAGGTAATGCATTACAACACTGCATTGCAAAAAATATTCATAGAATTAACTTTCTTAAAATTATTATCGTTAAACATAAACATATATAATTATTAAATTCCATTTAATTTTTTTTTAATTTTTTTTTTATCAATTTACAGCACTGATCCATTTCTTAAATTTTTTTCAATTTTTAAAATCATGTACATGTACATACATCAAGTCATCAACAAAACAAAACCAAATTGTTTCCACCAAATCTGGAAAGAAACTTGTCCATTGTGTACCCTACATGTTGTACTCTGAAGTTCAAGCTTTTGACTAGTATTTACATTATCGATCCAGCTAAATTTGGATTTATGTACACAGGCTTAACTCTATTTAAACCATAATGTCAATAAGAGTTTAAATGTCGCGTTATCACATGGACTTGTAACTGATCTTAATAAAACTAAAATGAGCATATACATTTGTACAAAGAAGATTGTGGTAACATCTAAAACGTAGAAACGAAAGCAATAAGGACAAAATAGTCCAATATTGCGGGTACTATCATCTGATCATGCAAATGTCCGTTGGATGAGTATTACTTAAATAGATCTTGTCTGTCATTGTTTTTTGGTAGTGACAGAAAACACTTAGTTAATGTCTGTGAAAAACTAAGAATGTTGTTCAAAGAAAAAGAAAAAAGCAAGAGGCCCTGTATCGCTAACTTGGATGTTAAATGTAAGTTGACAAAAAAGCCTAGGCAGGGGTAACTGTCATTGCCATATGGTACATCTTGTATCGTTGTTTCGGTAGGGGAAACTTGGCTTAGAAGTCTGATAATAAGTAAGATTAAATTGCTGCACATGCCTTATTACCTATGTACAATTGGTGACCTACTCATGAATAGTTAATATAATGTTGTATAGATTGTTAAAAGTACCTAGGGAAGAATTTTAGAAGGAGTCTGGATCTATAGTATATACATTTATAGAGTCAGTCTTGAGTTTGAGCGAGTCAGTTTTTTTAGGTTCGGGAATGAGAGCCTCTGAAAAGAGAGGCCAGGGAGTTGAAGGCCTTGGCTGGAGGAGCCAGGGATGAGATTGACCCCAAATAGCCTAGACGGCACTTGGTGTGCTTTAGAACTACTGTAGATCAAATGTGTTTGATGTTATATACTAGCTGCATGCTGAAACTATACCAAAATTGTAAAAATAAACATGTCAAAATAAAGGAGAATGAGTTAATTAGATAATGGCTTATATACCATATTAAAATCTTAACCTTTTATTCTATTCTTGTACATAAGAAAAAAACCTATATATTTTGGGCCAAAATCCCCCATTTATAATCACTTGACAAACACATCTTCTGGAGTTAAAAGTTAGTGGCTTAATTTGTCTTTAAAATAATACAAATTGTCCTGTGTGCTCGCGCGATAGACATTCTTGGGCAAGAATTAGTATACAACAAGAATGTTTGACTGCTTTCAATCCGTCCTGTGATTCATCAGTGATTCTTGGTGTAAATTATTGTAAGGATGGGTTACCTTTTTGGTAATTTGGTCTACCAACTCTTTCAAAACTCAAGGACTTACATTTGTATGTTGCTAGGACCTGATTCCAAAGCTATAAGAACACATGTTACGGTTAGTGAAATTAGTAAGTTTGTGACATCTTACCTATCACAAAATCCGCGCTCAACGTATTCATCTGTGTTGTTATTAAAAGGATAATAAGTATAATCTGCTCCTCTGCAGAAATCGTTTTGGTGAGTCAGACGTTTCGTAAGGGGAGATCACTCTAAAAAGTGTCGGTGCAAATCCGAACAGAAAGTCAACAATCCGCCGAGCCAGCTCGGTTGCTTACCTTTTATTGGTCAAGAAGTTTAAAACAGGTCACGACGTCTTGGTCATTTATCATGCATTTTATATCAATATGTTTTCTTATTATATGCAGTAATGCTAAACACAATGAATTGTTTATGTGAATGTAGAAACGGTACTTCACCCCATGGGCCATGATTATGATATGAAAATTTTGTTGCCTTGGCCTTATACAGTATTATTGCTAAACACACTTTGGACTGTAGTTTGTCTTCTACTATGTATCATAACCTTATCTGCTATGGACATCTAGAATCATCGTGTGATTGTCTGCCAATATACCTAACATATAATTATAATCGTGTAAAAATAAGGCCTGTGATTGGTGTTACTGAGTGAGGTAATGTTAAATTTAAACTTTATTTAGTTTACAGCTATAATGAAACAAGTTATTACAGCTTATATTAATCCTGGACTGAACGATGGTAATAGTAACTTAATATCTCTCTTAAGTGGAGGCATATCAAGGAGAACAAAAAGAAAAATAGGCTGATGTGATTTTTTTTCTACAAGTTGCTCATTTAATAATATTGTTTATAAAAATCTATTTGAGGTAGGATAAATGTGTTGACTAATTACATGAATTAAATCATAGCTGTCAACCCTCCCTCCTTAGGAAGGAGACTCCATCATTACGGAGGGTGACTCCTTCATATTGACCAAAATTGACAGATCACCCTCAAATAAAAAAAAATCAAATCGTTTTCTGTTTCAAGTCCAAACACACACAAACCAAAAATCTACATCCTGTGGTCAAATGATCTAGTTACTGCAGGGTGTGTGTAATGATCATAACAGGTGTGTCAGGATCAAATGAATGCCTTTAGGAGTTATTTTTATACAAATAAAGGGAAAGATAAAATAAGCAAAGCAGTTTCAGTCCCCTTTCTCAATCTTTCTCCCTCATTGCAAATGTGGAATGCGACCAATCTCCTTCATTGAAGGTTTCAGAGGTTGACACCTGTGATAATATTTGTCAGTGATATTTTACGGACTGGAGAGTACTTTCACACTAGTTTTGATAAAGATATCTATATTATAACTGTACTTTTATTTACTGAAGTGTAAATCAAACACAATTACAGCTTATTCCTCAAAAGAAAAATGGTGACACACACATCTAAAACAGTATTGATATTCCTGCAATGTACATGGATGTCTTAATTCATACAAATATTATCAGAAATTAATGTGATACTATACATATGTTTGTAATATGAAACCATTGTAATGGTTGGTTGTGAGTTTGTCAGACCAATAAACAGAATAGAAAAATAATTGTGTACGTGATGCTTATCTTTAAACTTAATTGTGTAGGTGATGCTTATCGTTAAACTTAATTGTGTAGGTGATGCTTATCTTTAAATTTAATTGTGTAGGTGATGCTTATCTTTAAATTTAATTGTGTAGGTGATGCTTATCTTTAAACTTAATTGTGTAGGTAATGCTTACCTTTCAACTTAATTGTGTACGTGGTGCTTATCTTTAAATTTAATTGTGTAGGTGATGCTTATCTTTAAATTTAATTGTGTAGGTGATGCTTATCTTTAAACATCCTTGATTAATGCTTTTCAAAAGATTTTTGTGATTGTGGATATATCACAAAATAATTGGAGAGATACCACTGTTCTAAAACCATAGCTTAAAAGGTTATTAAGGATTTCCAGGATAATTTCAAAGCCGGCTTAATTTCAAGGTTGTCTTATTAATATTTTGAGGTCATTTGTATTGACCATAATTAAGGCATGTATGACATATCTTCAAGGCCATCTTTCTTTCAAATCTTTATAAATGGCAGTACTGCTGGGTGTGTGTAATGATCATAACAGGTGTGTCTGAATCACATGAATGCTTTTTGGACTTATTTGAAAACATAAAAAGGGAAAGATAAATTGAACAAAGCCGTTTCAGTCACATTTCACACACTTTCTCCCTCATTGGAAATGTGGAATGAAGGAGATCTCCCTCATTGTATTTAAAAGTCCTTATTAACTTGAACCAGGCTTTTTGATATGGTTTTAATATATAAAAATATTTGAAACTAGGATAAACACAGTGATATATTATTTTTACAGATGGAAACATGCTGAGATGTTCTGTACTCCTTCCTAACCTATTAGGAAAGACATTCAGTGATTCCAGTAGAGTCTTGTTACCTGCCCTTTGTACCGCTTCACCACCAGGTGTCAGGAGGATGGCTGCGCCCAATCAGAAAAAAACCAAGGCAGTGATCTTTGATCTTGGAGGAGTTATTGTCCCTCCCCCATTTAAGATGTTTGAAGGTAATACTCGTTATATAGTGCAGTTATATTGGATCAATATATATATGTGTCGGGTGTATAATATTGTGTGTCTCTGCCTATTGTTTGACAATTAAGAGTACGCTCTGTTACATATTTATTTAGTGGCTGCAGGAGTATCTAGTATTGAGAATGATTTGGTCCCTGATAGTGATAGACTATACATTAAGCATTCAGCGATTTGCTCTGCCATGCAATTGTGACTAAATTTAGTGCATGATTCTTGTCACTGAAAGCATCTAAAGATTATTTTCTCGAGACAACAAGTTCAATAAATATTTTGGTTCACACTAGTGATAAAAACAATAATGGTAGACAATGTTTTTTATTGATTTTAGAAACATTTCTTCATATCAAGTCTATCACACCAGGCTCCACTTGATATTTATAATGATGATTTTCCTCCTCAAAATTCCAGGGTTTACTTATCTCACTTACATTCTCTGCACCCCTGGAATATGTCATGACAAATTGACGGCATGAAGGTAGCAGCTTGACTGATTTCAGGGTAAAAATAACTGACCAATTGCTAGCTAGGCTGATATCTGTCCTTAGAAGACTACATAGGAGCGACGCCCGGCTTTAACGTCAATCAATGCTACTGTGATGCCTCTGCATGATTCTTTTGGTGTACATCAAAGTATCATACTAGTTTTAACTGTATTACCTGCAAGGTGGCCTGTACAGAACCTTCAATTTTGTCATGAGGTATTGTGAAGAGAACGTAAATGAGCGTAACCCCTGGAATTTCGAGGATGGCCTTGTCTAATCAGTATATACATTCTAAATGATGAATAGATCATAATGTAATTATAAATGAATTTAAAGATACAATGTATAGATGCATCATGAACTTTCATTCATGCACCAGTAAACAAGGAACATATATTGTTGTTCCTTTCCAGAACTGAAATGTCTTTCGAAAAATAATAGCAAGAAGGACTTATTCACAGTATTTACCTGGAAATCCTATCATCAACAAGACCACATTTAATACTTTTATATCCAAGAGTTTTTATCTTGTAGATAATATATAAACATTTTTTTTTCAGTAATTAATAACTAATCATGATCTTACATGATACATGTATTATGTGATATAGCATAATTAAATTATATTAGATTATTTTTATAAAATTAATGATTAACATTCTGGCACTGCAGATTATGAGAAAGCTAAAGGTCTGCCTCCAAAGTCCATATCGCGGGTCGTAGTGGAAGGCGGCAGCAATGGGTCCTGGAATAAACTGGAGAGTGGCCAGCTCTCTGTCACACAGTTCTTTGATGTGTTCCAGAAAGAGTATTTTGACTTGGTTTGTTCACCTTATTTACTTGTCTTCTGAATCGGATTTCTGATGTACAATTACTAGTTCTGGGTACACAATACATTAATGCCTAGTAAATACTGTTGTTATTGTGGTTTCCCACTTTTTCTTCTTTTTAAAAAAAGTATATTTAATAATGTTTTTTTTTTTGATTGCAATGTACATGTAGTGCTGAATATGCAAGGCTATGTTTTACACTAGCAATGATTTGTCATTCTCAAAACTATGGAAAATATGCAGAGAACTAGACAACATCCATTTCGATATTGACATACCGTATGTACAATATGTATATCAGTAATGGTTAGTACAGGTACCAATAGTTTCTTTATATATCATTACCAAAATGATTAAACTATTTTAATTTACTCTAACGCTTATAAAGTTGCACAAACCCAACCAGACATGCATGTATTATTACAGACAGGGAAGAATATTGACGTGGCCGAGTTGTTTCGAGGCTTTGGTAAGTACCTAGGGAAACCCTACCCTCAGATGATCGACGCAGTTCAGTGTGTAAGAGCCGAGGGACTGAAGACTGCCCTTCTCACAAACAACTGGCACTGGCCTGGCAGGGACTCCAGCAACAGCCTGCCCCTCAGCCGTAGTCTATTTGATGTGGTAGGTCAGTTAAAAGTGTTCACAAAGAGTTTCGTTTCTCTGCAACTTTTCAGAAATTTTTAACATTAGACAAATGAAATTTAGTGCATTCAGTAATATGTACCAGTCTTGCTGCATAAATGGTACATGTTCAGGGGTAAAGCCTGACAGACCTGTATATGTTATGTAATCTTTGAACGTCTTTGTCATGGCTCATAAAAGTATTAACATCAAACCACTAGCTTAGGTCTGTCCATATTATATAAATGAACAACTTTCATCTAATTTTGGTTTATCTGTTAGCAATGTGCTAAATAAGAGTGGCCAAGTTTTGTTTTTTGTTTAAACCCCACAGGAATAGGAAAGTATGGAACTAAGAGTTAAGATATTCTAACACACTGTTTACCATTATATTCTATTATCTACATAGAATATCTGTTTGTGGGTAGATCATTGAGTCGTGTGTTGTGGGGATGAGGAAGCCAGACCCTCGGATCTATGAGATGTGCCTGAAGCAACTAGATGTGGCTCCAGAGGAATCAGTTTTCCTTGACGACCTCGGTGGCAACCTCAAGGCGGCAAAGGCTCTCGGCATCAATACTATTAAGGTCAGTTTATGAATGTGAGATCACATTTTTAATACCAGGGGAGGGGGTATCTGTTATTTACATATAGAATTTTGTTTGAATGAATGTATTATTCCTTGTTCAGGTATCAAATCCTGACGTAGCGATTCGAGAGTTGGAAGGGTTCTTGGGTGTACCCCTCCATGGTTATGTAGAAGGAACCGTAGCTGTGGCAGAACACCTAAAGGTGCCAATGGACAGACTGGAGGACTACCTCAAAAACGTTCTCCACATTCAATCCTCAGGTAAAATGGTAACTCTATTCCTTTTGTTCACTCTCAAAGGTTGAAACACAGCATTATGGATATAAGTGTTTGTGTAAGTTTATGTTGGGAAAACTATTACTGTGGAGGTAGGGGAGACTGTTACTCTGGGAGTAGGGGAGACTGTTACTGTGGGGGTAGGGGAGACTGTTACTCTGGGAGTAGGGGAGACTGTTACTGTGGGGGCAGGGGAGACTGTTACTGTGGGGATAGGGGAGACTGTTACTCTGGGAGTAGGAGAGACTGTTACTCTGGGAGTAGAGAGACTGTTACTGTGGGGGGTAGGGAAGACTGTTACTGTGGGGGTAGGGGAGACTGTTACTGTGGGGGGAGGGGAGACTGTTACTGTGGGGGTAGGGAAGACTGTTACTGTGGGGGGAGGGGAGACTGTTACTGTGGGGGTAGGGGAGACTGTTACTGTGGGGAAGTGGAGACTGTTACTGTGGGAGTAGGGGAGACTGTTACTGTGGGGGGAGGGGAGACTGTAAATGTGGGTAGGGGAGACTGTGACTGTGGGGGTAGGGGAGACTGTTACTGTGGGGGTAGGGAAGACTGTTACTGGGGGGGTAGGGGAGACTGTTACTGGGGGGGTAGGGGAGACTGTTACTGGGGGGGTAGGGGAGACTGTTACTGGGGGGGTAGGGGAGACTGTAACTGTGGGAGTACGGGAGACTGTTACTGTGGGGTTAGGGGAGACTGGTACTGTTGGGGAAGAGGAGACTGTTACTGTGGGGGTAGGGAAGACTGTTACTGGGGGGGTAGGGGAGACTGTTACTGGGGGGGTAGGGGAGACTGTTACTGGGGGGGTAGGGAAGACTGTTACTGTGGGGGTAGGGGAGACTGTAACTGTGGGAGTACGGGAGACTGTTACTGTGGGGTTAGGGGAGACTGGTACTGTTGGGGAAGAGGAGACTGTTACTGTGGGGGTAGGGAAGACTGTTACTGTGGGGGGAGGGGAGACTGTTACTGTGGGGGTAGGGAAGACTGTTACTGTGGGGGGAGGGGAGACTGTTACTGTGGGGGTAGGGGAGACTGTAACTGTGGGAGTACGGGAGACTGTTACTGTGGGGTTAGGGGAGACTGGTACTGTTGGGGAAGAGGAGACTGTTACTGTGGGGGGAGGGGAGACTGTAAATGTGGGTAGGGGAGACTGTGACTGTGGGGGTAGGGGAGACTGTTACTGTGGGGGTAGGGGTGAGTGTTATTGTGGGGGTAGGGGTGACTGTTATTGTTTGGGAAGGGGAGACTGTAACTGTGGGGGTAGGGGAGACTGTTACTGGGGGGGGGAGACTTTAAATGTGGGTAGGGGAGACTGTTATTGTGAGGGTAGGGGAGACTGTTACTGTGGGGGGAGGGGAGACTGTTAATGTGGGGGTAGGGGAGACGGTAACTGTGGGGGTAGGGAAGACTGTTACTGTGGGGGAAGGGGAGACTGTAACTGTGGGGGAAGGGGAGACTGTTACTGTGGGGGTAGGGGAGACTGTTACTGTGGGTGTAGGGGAGACTTACTGTGGGGGTAGAGGAGACTTACTGTGGGGGTAGGGGAGACTTACTGTGGGGGTAGAGGAGACTTAATGTGGGGGTAGGGGAGACGGTAACTGTGGGGGTAGGGAGGACTGTTACTGTGGGGGAGGGGGAGACAGTAGCTGGGGGGGAGGGGGAGACGGTAACTGTGGGGGTAGGGAGGACTGTTACTGTGGGGGAGGGGGAGACAGTAATGGGGGGGGAGGGGGAGACTGTGGGGGGGGGGGTAGGGGAGACTGTTGCTGTGGGGGAAGGGGAGACAGTAACTGTGGGGGTAGGGAGGACTGTTACTGTGGGGGAGGGGGAGACAGTAGCTGGGGGGGAGGGGGAGACGGTAACTGTGGGGGAAGGGGGGGAGGGTGTTTTGGGGGGGGGGGGGGGGGGGAGACTTACTGTGGGGGTAGAGGAGACTTACTGTGGGGGTGGAGGGGGCTTACTGTGGGGGGAGGGGAGGCTGTAAATGTGGGTAGGGGAGACTGTTATTGTGGGGGGAGGGGAGACAGTAACTGTGGGGGTAGGGAGGACTGTTACTGTGGGGGAGGGGGAGACAGTAGCTGGGGGGGAGGGGGAGACGGTAACTGTGGGGGGAGGGAAGACTGTTACTGTGGGAGTTGGGAAGACTGTTACTTTGGGGGTAGGTGAGACTGTAACTGTCCGAGTTGGGAAGACTGTTACTGTGGGAGTAGGGGAGACTAACTGTGGGGGTAGAGGAGTCTTACTGTGGGGATAGGGGAGACTTACTGTAAGTTAGGGCTGAAAGAGACTGATCCGCTCCAGATCTTAACAGCCGGGCCTTGCTTATCCAGTCACCTTCATTCCCAACTAAAAGAAGCCAGATTTGGAGACAGCTGAAAAGGGATTTTATTGAAAAAAAAGTCTTTCCCCTTAAATGCTGGCGGGATTAATCGACAATTGGTAAAGTGATGGCTGAAAGGAAAAAGGATAAACCATCTGTTTTTAATAAGACAAAATTAAGAAACCATTGGTTATCTCTTAGATATATTTATCACTTTCCAGCTTGTGAATTCAGAAACAATCATGGTAGAAAGGTGGCTGGTTTGTAAGCTCACCTGCCCGAAGGGCAAGTGAGCTAATGCCATGGTGCGTCGTCCATCGTCCGTCTGTCCGCTCTCAACTTTTTACTTTAAACAACTTCTTTTCAGTTACCAAAATGCCTAGGATGATGATATTTGGCCAGTAGAATGCTGGAATCAGGGGCTACCAAGTTGTTCAAATGAATGACCAATTTTGAAGGTCACAGGGGTCAAATATCTTAAAATCTTCAAGCAACTTCTGCTTAATAACCAAAAGGCCCAGGGTACTGACATTGGGCCTGTAGCATGTTGGGGTGAAGGACTACCAAGTTTGTTCAAATGAATGACCTTTACCCATATTCAAGGTCACAGGGGTCAAATATCTTAAAATCTTCAAGCAACTTCTGCTTAATAACCAAAAGGCCCAGGGTACTGACATTGGGCCTGTAGCATGTTGGGGTGAAGGACTACCAAGTTTGTTCAAATGAATGACCTTGACCCACTTTCAACCTAATGTTCTTGTTCGACACTCAAGGTCAGAGTAGGGGAAACTGTTACTGTGGGGGTAGTGGAGACTGTTACTGTGGGAGTTGGGAAGACTGTTACTTTGGGGGTAGGGGAGACTGTTAGTGTGGGGGTAGGGGTGAGTGTTATTGTGGGGGTAGGGGAATTGTGGGGGTAGGGGAGACGGTAACTGTGGGGGTAGGGAGGACTGTTACTGTGGGGGAGGGGGAGACAGTAACTGGGGGGGAGGGGGAGACGGTAACTGTGGGGGAAGGGGGGGAGGGTGTTTTGGGGGGGGGGGGGGGGGGGGGGGAGACGGTAAGTGGGGGGGAAGCGGAGACTATTACTGTAGAGGGTAGGGGATACTGTTACTGTGGGGCTAGGGGCGACTTACTGTAAGTTAGGGCTGAAAGAGACTGATCCTCTCCATATCTTAACAGCAGGGCCTTGCTTATCCAGTCACCTTCATTCCCAACTAAAAGAAGCCAGATTTGGAGACAGCTGAAAAGGGATTTTATTGAAAAAAAAGTCTTTCCCCTTAAATGCTGGCGGGATTAATCGACAATTGGTAAAGTGATGGCTGAAATGAAAAAGGACAAACCATCTGTTTTTAATAAGTCAAAATTAAGAAACCATTGGTTATCTCTTAGATATATTTATCACTTTCCAGCTTGTGAATTCAGAAACAATCATGGTAGAAAGGTGGCTGGATTGTAAGCTCACCTGCCCGAAGGGCAAGTGAGCTTATGCCATGGTGCGTCGTCCATCGTCCGTCTGTCCGCTGTCAACTTTTTACTTTAAACAACTTCTTTTCAGTTACCAAAATGCCTAGGATGATGATATTTGGCCAGTAGCATGCTGGAATCAGGGGCTACCAAGTTGTTCAAATGAATGACCAATTTTCAAGGTCACAGGGGTCAAATATCTTAAAATCTTCAAGCAACTTCTGCTTAATAACCAAAAGGCCCAGGGTACTGATATTGGGCCTGTAGCATGCTTGAATGAAGGGCTACCAAGTTTGTTCAAATGAATGACTTGACCCATGTTGAGGGTCACTTGTGTCAGATGTCTTAAAATCTTCAAACAACTTCTTCTCAATAACCAAAAGGCCCAGGGTACTGACATTGGGCCTGTAGCATGTTGGGGTGAAGGACTACCAAGTTTGTTCAAATGAATGACCTTGACCAACTTTCAAGGTGACAGGGGTCAAATGTCTTAAAATCTTCAAACGACTTCTTCTCAATAACCAAAAGGCCCAGGGTACTGATATTGGGCCTGTAGCATGCTGGGATGAAGGACTACCAAGTTTGTTCAAATGAATGACCTTGACCCACTTTCAACCTAATGTCCTTGTTCGACACTCAAGGTCACAGGCGTCATATGTTTAAAACTTTTGAAAGGTTCTTATGAATCAAACACTGATATTCTGCCTGTAGCTGTATTTTAGTCCACTTTTAAGATTACAAGTGTGACATCAATACCAGGTGAGTGATGTAGGTCCATTGGGCCTCTTGTTGAGAGTCCACTCTATAGATACAGAGGTGACAGGGGTTCCATTGTAATTATATTATTTAGTCATTAGACTTAACTAGATGATGACAAAGCCACAGTATAAGATATAGAGAGGTGACTGGATGATAGGGGTTACCTATTAAGAAATACTACACATGCTTATTTTATAATTATTTTCTGTATATTTGTGAGATTCGTGACTTTAATACGCTAGAACGCGGGCTAGATTGTCAAAGATATTTGAAAAGATAGCAATATATTTGCATCCTTAAATTTCAGATCCTCCTCACATCCGCTGTTTTCTGCATGGCCAGTCCAATCCAACTTACTATGTATCTTATGGAGGCAAACAGCTCGTCCTCCGCAAGAAACCGGTTTGTAAACAGATTGATCATTCACTGGTAGTCAAGAGGCTGTCATTCGACAAATATGATCTCCGATGATAGTGTTGGATACCCTTTGTCGAAAGAAAACATTTATGCATCTCTGATATTGCTGCTTCTTAATGTTAAAAAAGGAAATTGTTATGTCATGTGTGTATATATTTTGATAGTTTGCTAGAAATAAAATTGTGTAATTCTTTAATTGGACACTTGATTTGAAAGCAAACTGACATTGTTTCCTGTACTCTTCCTTTGAAGCCAGGAAAGCTACTGCCATCAGCCCATGCTGTAGAGAGAGAATTTCAAGTGATGCAGGCTCTTGGACAACATGGTGTGCCCATGCCTAAAATGTATGGACTTTGTGAAGACCCTAGGTACGTAGTAAACCAGTACTGATGCCATAATAGGAGCTCTTATAACTAAAGTAAAGTACAGTATGTTTTCCATATTCAACATATATGCAAGAAATAATTGAAATATCCTGTTTGTATGTTATGCAATGAGCTAGAAATGGATGCTGCGAGGCATGTTACAGGCAAATTTTGCTCTGCCCCTTTGTTACTCTTGTTTTCCAAGTTGAGATGGGTGTACAATACAGGGCCCAAATACATGTTGTTCAGATTCATTTATAGACATCAAATTAAAACCCTAAGCTCAGATATGAAAAAAAAAATCAGTAATGATTTTCAAATTCATAAAAGAAGCTTTTAGAACAACTTGAGGACTGATTAGTAAATTGGTTCCTGTCCGCATCAACAATATTTTAAGTTGTGGCATTACGTCTTTATTATTTTGACAGTGTAATTGGGACACCATTTTACATAATGGAGTACCTGAAGGGTCGGATCTTTATTGACCGGTCACTACCTGGTATGACCAAAGCCCAGCGGAGGGAACTGTTCTCGTGTATGGCAGACACGCTTTGTCAGATCCATCGGGTGGACATCAGTGCTGCCGGCCTTGATAGCTTTGGCAAAAAAGGTCAGAGGAAACAAATCAATATAGTATGGCTATGTGATCTTTAGACAATCATTTTCCTCATTCGCCATTTTGTGGTTTAAGGTTGATATACTTAAAAATTATCTTGCAGCCTAAAATCTTGATTGCCTTAAATGTTCATTTATGATAATGAGCCGTGCAGCGTACCTTCCACTACATTGCAACTTTCTTCTTAGGTGACAATTATCTTTTCTCTTTAATTGGAATTTTTATTAAACTTTTGAAATTACCTTACCAACATCAAATAAATATCAAATAAAATCAAGTAATATAAAATGAAAATAAAGAGCAGTTTTAGAAGAGAGGAAGTTAAAACCTTTAATAACAAATTCTTGCAAAATTGACCTTCAGTTTAGTTTGGTTGTTGACCTTGACATTTATCATTTGTAGGTGGTTACTTAAAGCGGAACTTCACCAGGTGGGCACGTCAGTACGAGGCGAGTAAGACACGGGAGATTGAGTCGATGAACAAGCTGATGCGGTGGATAACTGAACGCATGCCCTCAGACGAACGAGTCACAGTGGTACATGGAGACTTCAGGTATCGGCAGGCCTCAGAACCAAACTGTTGACACCTAATGACTAAAGATAATAATCTTCCATTCTGAAATTGCTGTTTTAATACGTGATAAATTTTCATGTTCCGTCAGGAATGATGAGAAGGTCTCAAAGATTCCTTAAAACATTGCTATTCACAATCACAAGGTATAAAGCCCATGCACGGAGTAAACTCTCCCCACTCTAATTTTGACAAACATTGTATGTTAAATGCTGTATAAATCCTTCTTTGATTTCCATGCAAGGTTCAACATGGACAAGGTAATATTTTTCAACATAAAGGCAAAAATAACTTGTGTGACATCTCCGAGCTTAAATGTATGTACATAAATTTCGATGTTAAATACAAAACTTTTCACAAGTAGATATCCTGGGGCTGTTCTATGAGTAATCATATGAAGAGGTGCGAGGCACCTGTATTAAGTTAGGTCAGATGGGTGGTGGGATTAAATGAGCTCTGCCTACCATTGCTGATATCAAGTTACTTTTAACATTTGATGGGTGGTGTGGTCTCTTTATGAAATATTCTTACAAGTTGGAATATTTATATTGCCAAATATTTCAATTGCAGGATGTCTTACTAACAAATTGTCCCATTTCAGACTCGACAATCTGATATTCCATCCCGACAGACCTGAAGTGATTGGGGTCCTAGACTGGGAGCTATCTACAATAGGAGACCCCATAACAGACCTTTTCTCAGCGATGGTTAACTATTACCTGCCTAGTGATTTCTTTATGTTTGCAGGTAAGAACAAAATGTTTGCATGGGAAACAAGATGGCTGACTTCAATTAGTTTTCAACTCATAATTGCTAAAAGTTCTAAATTTAGTATTACAATATGGAAAAATGATGGAAATCTTTTTTATTTTTTTCTAACAAGCAATTGCTCTTGAAGTAAATTGTAGACAATTCAGAAATAAAAGTCTTTTGTATCGTCATTCGTCTGTTAGTTGTAATTATTGCCTGGCTAAATTCTTATTGCATGTGTAGGATCATAATAACTCTAAACGTAGTACTTTTGAAATCTTTAACACATGTACACATATTCTATTGCAAAGGTTGTTTTTTGTGCAGTGCAAACTTTACGGTTTTGATTTCAAAGTTTTTTTTATCTTATTCCAGAATCAGGTGATGTAGATATGCGGGAAATTGGGTGTCCGTCTGTTGAGGAGTTTGTCGCTGAGTACTGTCAGAAAATGGGTATCCCCCCTATAGATAACTGGGACTTCTATGTGGCTTTTGGACTGTTCAGATTTATTGCCATCATACAAGGAGTTTACAAGCGGGCCATTTCTGGTGAGTACTGCTTTCTATATCACCTGCAAAAGCATTCGGAAGATTGTCATGTGAAGTGAGTGTTGTAAATGTTTGCATTATGAATTCCAGTTGACTTCTTTCAAAGAAAAGACAAGAACTTGATAAAATATGGTAAAGATACATATAACCCCAGTACCTAGCTGGAGTTTAATATTTGGCATACTATTTGCAAATTTAATGAGGATGCTGCAATGTCTGACATGAGTTTCTGTCACCTCTTGGTCTTTAGTGGTCTGTCATGAATGTTTGTTTCATATCGATCAAAGGAGTGTCACATAGTTGTTTGTAACCTTAGGGAAAGTCTTACCTCAGTAAGTATCACCTGTTGGTGTCTGTGGTATCTGACATGGCGGTTTGTCACCAGTTGATCTTGGAGAAGCAGGCATAGTAATTTGTCAACTACTGATCTAGGGTTATTCTTTGCAGTAGTATTTATCACCTGTTGATGTCCATGGTATCTGACATGGCAGTTTGTCACCTGCAGTTGATCTTCGGAAGTCCATCAATATAAGTCTCCCCTTTAAAGGAAGGGAGACATATTGTAATAGTACTGATTCTCCTGATGATTAAAGTGTTGTCTTATATCGGTCACTGTATAAGTGTGCAATTTGAAATAAAACCTAAAGTGTACCTCCTTCATCCAAGGATAACATTACATTGCAATTCATTTTCAATGACCTTTACCTTTAGTTCAATAAGTGCAATTCTTTTTAAAGCTATTTAAAGACATTTTAATAACTGAACAATACATATTGTACCTAATCTTCCCCTACCTTGAGGGTGTGACAGAGAAATCTCCAACCTGAATTAGGTGTTTTTCACTTGTTCATCTTGGATCATTTTCACAAAGATGTTTGTTACCCGTTGATATCTTGGTCAGTCTCACTAGGATGTTTGTCACCTGCTGATCTTGGTCAGTATCACAAAGATGTTTGTCACCTGATGATCTTGGTCAGTATCACAAAGATGTTTGTCACCTGTTGATCTTGGTCTGTCTCACAGAGATGTTTGTCATGATAAATGATCACTTTAAATGAATCAATATGTGACGGATGGTGAACGATATTTATTATATATAATCACATGAAATGAACATATGAAAGTATTATACAAGAGATGGGTCATTATTTGAATTTTCCAGATCATTATAACTAATAACATGTATTGCATACAGTGAAAATCCCATGGTACCACCACTATTCAAACTGTTACCCTCAGTCTTGCTAATGCCCTTTATTTTTGAAGAATTAATCAGGAAAAGTGTCTCCTACAGATTGAATTTTGTAAATGTAAATGTATTTTGTTTGTTTTGTTGTTATGCATTTGTTGTTTAAATGCTAGGGCCTCCAATGAAAGTTTTACATTTTTATGTATATAAATAAAATGCTGTTCTCTCTTACTGCATCATGCTCTCATATATGAAAAGAGAAAAATACCTGTATTTTGTTTAATTTTAACATGCATCGATGAATTAAAAGCATTGAAAAATGGAAATACAGGATTGGATATTTTATTTCATATACATTTATTAGGTCGTAATAATGTTTGGTTTCTGGACATGTATATATGTACCATGAATCACTAACATGTTCATTGAATATAATCAGAAACCCAATGTTACTATGACATCATGAATGTTGAAATAATAAACTCCATTCTGTAAGTAACATTTTATTAAAGGGAAACATAAAATGCTGACCGTTAATCATTGTATCTTACGTGACAAAATAAAACTTTTACACAGAAATGGTTATATCTATTGCCATACTGTATTAACAATTAACGACTTTGAAAGTACAAAGTCAAATACAGGAAAAGTACAATAATTAATATGAGAAAAGCTAAAGAATGGCCCATATTCTTTGGACTTATAGAGCCTTTCCCTATGCTTAGTCTATAAAAAATATATCATATTCCTGGGGCTGATGTGTTTTGCTCATTAACTCTCTAGGGAGGGAATCCTTTTCTTCTGTCCCTTTTACCACCAACTGGCAGCTGAAGTATGATGCCATCTTATAATAAAAAAAGTGTTGCCTTTCAATTATTGCAATTCAAATGTTGCTTGTCTACAGCCTATGGTTTGGCATAGAAATCATTCACATCTAAACAGGAGAAAAAAATCAGTTTCAGTTTTACATTTGTAAATCGCTACATCAAATTAATATAATTGTCGATTTTTGTATTGGATTCATATGGAGTTTGTTTTCCTAGTTGAACCTAGTGAAAAGTGTATTATAACTTAGCAATGTATTTGATGTATTGCTTCAATGGGAGACTGAAGTGTTAACTATTTGATGTATTGCTTCAATGGGAGACTGAAGTGTTAACTATTTGATGTATTGCTTCAATGGGAGACTGAAGTGTTAACTATTTGATGTATTGCTTCAATGGGAGACTGAAGTGTTAACTATTTGATGTATTGCTTCAATGGGAGACTGAAGTGTTAACTATTTGATGTATTGCTTCAATGGGAGACTGAAGTGTTAACTATTTGATGTATTGCTTCAATGGGAGACTGAAGTGTTAACTATTTGATGTATTGCTTCAATGGGAGACTGAAGTGTTAACTATTTGATGTATTGCTTCAATGGGAGACTGAAGTGTTAACTATTTGATGTATTGCTTCAATGGGAGACTGAAGTGTTAACTATTTGATGTATTGCTTCAATGGGAGACTGAAGTGTTAACTATTTGATGTATTGCTTCAATGGGAGACTGAAGTGTTAACTATTTAATGTATTGCTTCAATGGAAGACTGAAGTGTTAACTATTTGATGTATTGCTTCAATGGAAGACTGAAGTGTTAACTATTTGATGTATTGCTTCAATGCATGGGAGACTGAAGTGTTAAAAATTATTTCCAGAATTAAAGTATATATCACTTACATCTATACATTCTTGTTACCATATATATATTATTATGTAGGTAACTTGTTCACTGTTTACAGTAACACATTTATGACAATAGTCACAATACAATACGTAATGTGTAGAAACTGAACAGGTGTAAGGATATTGTACAGGACATGAATCCAACAACTCACTTAATCTGGCCTGAGATGTGTGTTATCACTGGTATATTCACCTGTACATGTAGATCACTAGTACAGAGACAATATCAGTAGATCTAGAAGGGGTCGAATTCTAGGACACCATTCCCTGGCTGTAATCTGGGTCATTGTGAGGGAATAACTTCTGTAACACTCCTGTAAGTTAGTATGCCTCTTACTTGTGTCTCAAAATGTTTATTCCTAGTGATTCCTTTGCGAAATTAACCACAATACTTGTTTATGACATTTTATTATGTGTGTGAATGTTGGTATTGACTTTAAAGCCCTGAAATTGTCTACGTGATACATGTATGTCAGTGTCTAAAGGTAGATACACATTATGTACATGTATGTACCTGCTATATTGCTGGTGAAACAGAGGCAGTGACTGAATTACTAGTTAAACAATAGCATAAATAAATCGATAGTCTGTTCATGATCATTACCAAATATGTATACAACAATGATAAGTAAACTTGGTTATTATAAAACAGCTGGTGAAAACGTTGTGGATAAGGTAGTGTTTAGGAATATGTATTTGTTACTGATGTTTAGTACAGAACACTAGGAACTAAGGAAGTGCATTGTTCTCCAAAGGAGGTTTTTAGCTCAGCTTATGGTGCGACGTCTGTCGCCCGTCCAGCGGCAACTTCTTCTGAATAACCTAGAGGCCTAGGGTGACGATATTCGCCAGTAACATGTTAGGATGGAGGGCTACAGAGTTTGTTCAATTGAATGACCTTGACTTATATTCAAGGTCACAGGGGTCAAATATATTTAAAACCTTTAAACATTTTTTTCTGAATATCCAAAAGGCCTAGGATGATGATATTTGTCCAGTAACATGCTGGGATGAAGGGTTACCAAGTTCGTTTTTTTGAATCAAACACTGCTATTTTGCCTGTAGCTGTGTTTTAGTCCAATTTTAAGATTACAAGTGTGAGATTAATACCAGGTGAGTGATTCAGGCCCATTGGGCCTCTTGTTGTAGCGTGGTATCATTCTCGTATATTTGTTTACTTAGGGGGATGGAAGGTACATGTAGCTTATAGGGTCAAAGATAACACTTGACATATTTTGAAATTTACAGTTTAGTTTATATTTACACCATGGTATGATATCGTAAAGTTCTACAACTGATTGATGTTGTTGGTCACTTCTCAAGGTTAAAAGGTGAAGGTCACATTTGACCACTTTGGAAGGAAACAGCTTGTGTGCAAGATATTTCATGAACCCTTCAACTGATTTAGTTTATGTTTACAAGTTACAACATAATATAGTACATGTAACATTGCATATTACAAATATAGTACTGATTAGATTTCGGTGGTCAGCAGTCAAGGTAAGGGTCAAAGGTCACACCTTACAACTTTTGGGAGGATGATGGGTGAATATATCTATTTGAGCTCGGTGGGGTGGTCTGGTGGTGCAGTGGATAGCACAGAGAACATGGATAGCCTTCACCCATACAACCTCGATTTAATTGATTCCCCAATCGGACATAAAACATGCAAGCCTCGGTTTCCTCCTACATTAGGACCTCCCTGTGCACTGACATCCAGGCAAGCAAACATGATTATAACTTGTGTTATAATTGTTATAAAATATATAAAGTTACATTGTATATATTGAGCTCCCACTCATTTTTCTTGATTCTGTAAAGAAATAGTGATTACAAATATTTGTCTATCTGTATATGTTTTTTTCAACAGGCCAAAAAAGTCACCCAAAATCTGAACTCGCCGGAATGTTTGCTGTTAGGGTTGCTGATGAGGCCTGGGAGCTTATTTCTAAGAGCAAGCTGAAGCCCACTCTGTCGCCGACGGCAGGCTCCGTCTCTGCTGACCAGGGAGGCAAGAGAAACTACTCGACCTCAGCTGGTGATGAAGCATTAGGTATGAGCATTAATCCTACACTTACTTATAATCTATTTATCTCAAAGCAGCATGTTAAAAAATGTCCTGTGCTTGCTTCAGAATCAACTTAAGCAAACCCATAGTACATTATATATGTACAGCATATTGTGTATGGAGAGAAGCATGGTAATGCAATGGTTCCCTGGTTACAGGTAAGATGGCAGTGACCCCTGAGGCCCTGCCAGAGAGGGCCAGAGACATCTTCTTCCGTGTGAAAAAGTTCATAAACAACGAGATCATGCCACATGAGGCAGAGTTGGTAAAGTTTACCAAATCTGACAAGAAGTGGGAGGTCAACCCTATGGTAGAGGAGTTAAAGGTCAGTGAGCATTAGGTATATCATAGGTAGTTATATAAAACTGATGGACAAGGTCAAGGTCACAGATCATTAAGTAATTATAGACAGTTGACAGAGAGGTGAAAGCCAGAGGGCATTGTTTAAACCATGTTATATACAAGTTCAAGGTCAGACTGTATTGGTCACATCATAGATAGGGTAATGAACAAGGTGAAGGTCAGACACGACTTGTAAAATTATAAAATGGTTAATGGACAATGTCAAGGTCAAGCAGTACTGACTATATCAGAGGTAGTTTAATGTAGGAGTATGTGGTCAATGTCATGCGGCTCCTGTCATCGTGAGTAGGTTTAGTAAGTTATGGTTATACAGAATTGTATCCTTACTTTTAAAATGATGCGATAAAGAAAGTCGGTGCCAGACAAAAAACTCCTGTAAAGATGATAACATTCAGTGATGATGTTTTCAGACAAAAGCTAAGGCCCAGGGTTTGTGGAACCTGTTCATGCCAGTAGAATCTGACCCAGATGTGAAGTATGGAGCCGGACTGACCAACCTTCAGTATGCCTTTATGGCAGAGGAGATGGGCAAGTGTATATGGGCCTCTGAGGTAAGTAGAATTTAAGAATGTTACTGAGTGATCAGAGCCTGAGTAAGTTTAAATTGTACATGGTGGTACCGTTATACAGCTAAATTCTGTTTAAAATCTTTAAAACTAATGCGTTAAAATACACAGGAGACATTAAATCATTACTATTTTCATAAAGGTCTCTTGAAATAGATAAACAACCACAAGTTATTGTCAAAATTTTATTAGGCCTTCAACTGTGCTGCGCCGGACACTGGTAACATGGAGACACTAGTGAAGTATGGTACAGAGGAACAGAAACAGCAGTGGCTGATCCCCCTCCTCAACGGCGAAATCAGGTCCTGCTTCGGTATGACAGAACCCCAGGTAAGTACTCCGGTACTTTTAATGGTTAAGTTTAGATATGGAGCTAAGAAAATAAAAAGTTTGTTTGTTAACTGAGTGACCTTATACCAGAATTGACACAAATGACCTGCAAACTACATGTACAGTATATTGTATTTATATTGTAGGTGGCGTCGTCTGATGCGACAAATATTGAGTCGTCCATAGAGCGAAGGTCTGACCACTACCTCATCAACGGTCACAAATGGTGGACATCTGGTAGGTGCTGACACTTGTACATGTACTTGTGTTAATTTCAAACTCTGATTTACAACAACTTTATTTGTAGCTCATGATCAGCTTTTCAAAGACCAGAGGACTTATGTAGTCAGCTCAGTAACAGGAACAACAAATTTAACATTACTCATTGTTTCACGTTTTTGTGCGAATGCTGAAATTCATACATATGACTTTCACTTTTTGTACAAGGATGCTAATATTTGACATAGAGAATCCCTTGGAGTTTAACATTATTGCAGTGCAGTCAACACTATTTTTTTTACCCGTTTTGACTAATATCTCATTTTATGAAAATCTCTTGGTATAGTTTTAGTACTAAAATGTTGATATTTTGCAAAAAGGTTTTTGAGTGCCAGTCTTTCTTACATTGTTATGGTGTACTTCAATAGTTCTACTTAAGTTGACATTTGGCGTGGAGGTTCCTGAGGGGTCATACAGTACTGTACACAAGTCAAACAGAATTGTTTTTATGTCACTAGCATCATTCAAATGATCCATGATGTAATCGCCTTTTGTCCGTCATTGTGCTTCATCCATAGTGTGTCAGGCATTGTCAGTAAACGAACACATTTTCTACTTATCAGATATATCCATCAAATGCTGATGAAACTATCAGTCTGTAGTGTAGATAAGAAATTTTACTCCAGAAGAGCTGAAGAGCATGGCCATAATATAACTAAAGGTTGTCACAGAGTGCAAAACAAGACATCTCCTCTGAAATAAACTCTTGTTAAACATTTCATAAAATGATCCAATGATGATGTGGATCAGAATCTGTACCCATCAAGACAGGTGCCCTCCTCCAATATAAAGGTTTCTTGTTTGTTGACAGGTGCCCTCCTTCAATATAAAGGTTTCTTGTTTGTTGACAGGGTCCCTCCTCCAATATAAAGGTTGCTTGTTTGTTGACAGGGGCCTTACTCCAATATAAAGGTTGCTTGTTTGTTGACAGGTGCCCTCCTCCAATATAAAGGTTTCTTGTTTGTTGACAGGGGCCCTCCTCCAATATAATGGTTCCTTGTTTGTTGACAGGTGCCCTCCTTCAATATAAAGGTTTCTTGTTTGTTGACAGGTGCCCTCCATCCGCATTGTAAAGTATGTATCTTCATGGGTAAAACTGACAAGGGAGCCAGCGTCCATAAGCAGCAGAGCATGATCCTCGTTCCCATGGATGCCCCCGGGGTCAAAATCATCCGACCTTTGTCTGTCTTTGGCTTCATGGATGAACCAGGTAGGCTCTTCCTTGCCTTTCGAATGTTTCCTACTATGTTTTGTATTTGAAAATACATAATGCATTGCTTTATGCATCATGTGCTGAATACTGCAGTTATGCTGTATGGTATTTGTAAAAAATGTTGACTATGACAACCCATTGTCGATTGCTACACTGATTAAATGTCTTAAAATATCGATAAATGTAAAATCTATGCATAAAACTTGTATCTTATATAATTATGTCATGTTATATTTGAATAGCGGGCCATGCAGAGGTGACCTTTGAGAATGTAAAAGTACCACTTACCAACATTCTGCTGGGAGAGGGTCGAGGATTTGAGATTGCTCAAGGCCGATTAGGGCCTGGCAGAATCCACCATTGTATGCGGCTAATAGGCAATGCAGAGAGAGCGCTGGAGCTCATGGTCAAACGCGTAAGTAGTGAGATTCAGACAAGGCAGACATTCCTGGAGCTTGTTATTTGTATGCAGAAACATTTTTCATATTGTGTAGCTTTCAGTAAAAAGGGAATCCAAAACTTTTGTCGTCATATTCTTTTGTTAGGAAATGTGAATGCTTTATAAGTCGATAGCAGTTTTAATCAACATTAAAAGCATATGTGAGAAAGAATTGACCAATTTACCCGATTTGAGAAAGAAAACTCATAAGGGTTTTTTCATTAACAGATGACATACTTTTTATGTTGTAGACCCAGGAACGCATTGCCTTTGGGAAGCCCCTGGCTGCCCAGGGTACCATTCAGGCGGACGTGGCCCAGTCCAGGATAGAGATAGAACAAGCCAGACTGCTCACACTCAGGGCCGCTTACATCATGGATAACTTTGGCAATAAGGTACGTTATGAGGGCTGGTCTTTTACAAGTCATTTACAATGNCTTTAGTCTGGTTGTCCCACTATTGTTTCATCACCTTTAGTCTGGTTGTCCCACTATTGTTTCATCACCTTTAGTCTGGTTGTCCCACTATTGTTTCATCACCTTTAGTCTGGTTGTCCCACTATTGTTTCATCACCTTTAGTCTGGTTGTCCCACTATTGTTTCATCACCTTTAGTCTGGTTGTCCCACTATTGTTTCATCACCTTTAGTCTGGTTGTCCCACTATTGTTTCATCACCTTTAGTCTGGTTGTCCCACTATTGTTTCATCACCTTTAGTCTGGTTGTCCCACTATTGTTTCATCACCTTTAGTCTGGTTGTCCCACTATTGTTTCATCACCTTTAGTCTGGTTGTCCCACTATTGTTTCATCACCTTTAGTCTGGTTGTCCCACTATTGTTTCATCACCTTTAGTCTGGTTGTCCCACTATTGTTTCATCACCTTTAGTCTGGTTGTCCCACTATTGTTTCATCACCTTTAGTCTGGTTGTCCCACTATTGTTTCATCACCTTTAGTCTGGTTGTCCCACTATTGTTTCATCACCTTTAGTCTGGTTGTCCCACTATTGTTTCATCACCTTTAGTCTGGTTGTCCCACTATCCACTACATATTATGAGAATATAGATGGATAGATTACTGAAGCATTACTGTACACTGCTAATCCTGGGTCATGCGTATGATGAGTGCTAATTCTAAAATTGACATTGACAATATAAGGTGTATTTGTTTTGATTCTGTAGAATCACACAGATTGATGTGAGGGTTCAATATAAGCAATGAAGATTATTTTGTAGAAATTCAGCTTTGTATTACCAAGTTAGATGATGCATAGAAAGAAATACAAAATGAAAAAATGTCAGATGATTCCCCTGTGAACGGAATATCTGTAAACTTAAAAAATTGTTGGTAATATAATTTCAGGTTGCAGCTCCAGACATAGCGATGATAAAGGTTGCGGCACCAAATATGGCGCTGAAGGTCATAGATAGAGCTATACAGGTATGTATCTGTTGGTGTAATGTGACAGTGTACAAGAATAGATCTCCTAACATATATATATGACAGGATCAAGGTCAGTTGTGATATTATAAACATATCCCCGTCACAGGTAACAATGTGCCATTGCTAGGTCACAAACTCCTACAGTGTGAGGTTCAGTTATAGTATTATTAACCTGTTCCCATCACAGGTAACAATGTGCCATTGCTAGGTCACAAACTCCTACAGTGTGAGGTTCAATTATAGTATTATTAACCTATCCCCATCACAGGTGACAATGTGCCATTGCTAGGTCACAAACTCCTACGGTGTGAGGTTCAGTTATAGTATTATTAACCTATCCCCATCACAGGTAACAATGTGCCATTGCTAGGTCTCAAACTCCTACAGTGCGAGGTTCAGTTATAGTATTATTGACCTGTTCCTAGCACAGGTAACAATGTGCCATTGCCAGGTCACAAACTCCTACAGTGTGAGGGTCAGTTATAGTATTATTGACCTGTTCCCATCACAGGTAACAATGTGCCATTGCTAGGTCTCAAACTCCTACAGTGCGAGGTTCAGTTATAGTATTATTAACCTATCCCCGTCACAGGTAACAATGTGCCATTGCTAGGTCACAAACTCCTACAGTGCAAGGTTCAGTTATAGTATTATTAACCTATCCCCATCACAGGTAACATTGTGCCATTGCTAGGTCACAAACTCCTACAGTGCAAGGTTCAGTTATAGTATTATTGACCTATCCCCATCACAGGTAACAATGTGCCAGTGCTAGGTCACAAACTCCTACAGTGCGAGGTTCAGTTATAGTATTATTGACCTGTTCCTATCACAGGTAACAATGTGCCATTGCCAGGTCACAAACTCCTACAGTGTGAGGTTCAGTTATAGTATTATTGACCTGTTCCTATCACAGGTAACAATGGGCCATTGCCAGGTCACAAACTCCTACAGTGTGATGTTCAGTTATAGTATTATTAACCTATCCCCATCACAGGTAACAATGTGCCATTGCTAGGTCACAAACTCCTACGGTGTGAGGTTCAGTTATAGTATTATTGACCTATCCCCATCACAGGTAACAATGTGCCATTGCTAGGTCACAAACTCCTACAGTGTGAGGTTCAGTTATAGTATTATTGACCTATCCCCATCACAGGTAACAATGTGCCATTGCTAGGTCACAAACGCCTACAGTGCGAGGTTCAGTTATAGTATTATTAACCTATCCCCATCACAGGTAACAATGTGCCATTGCTAGGTCACAAACTCCTACAGTGCGAGGTTCAGTTATAGTATTATTAACCTGTTCCTATCACTTGTGTCACTGCTTCAATCCTTGCCTGAACCAGCTTATTATACTGTCAACAGATAACTGAACATTGAGTGTACACATAATGTCAATCGCCCTGAGAGCACAGTTGTGGATCTGATAATTAAAAATTCATTTATTGTGACAGAACTTGCCAGGAGGAACTTTTGGTACTTTAATACCTTGGTAGCAGTAAAATGCTCCTTAAGGTCCCCAATTCCCACCCTATATTTAAAATTCAAAATGAGTACAGTAGGACATAGCCTAACTTCTGAATGTATATTTACTATATTACCTTTTATACCTGTAATTAAATGCACTATTTTATTATATTTGTACATGTATTCCCATGTAGCATTAGACAGATTACCTCCCTTGTGTCCCCTTTCAGTCCTTCGGGGGTGCAGGTCTTGATGACTCCCTGCCCCTAGCCAGTATGTTTGCTTGGGCCCGAATTCTGAGGCTGGCAGATGGACCAGACGAAGTCCACAGGAGAACCATTGCCAGATATGAATACAAGAAATCAAAACTATGATTCGAAAGGTCTGCACCGATTGTTGTCTCTGCTTGGCGTTTGTTGTCTCTGCTTGACGTTTGTTGTCTCTGCTTGGCGTTCGCACTAATATCCCAGCTGTATACACTGTGTTTTATTGGCAGTATTTCTCTGTTGTAGATTCTTTTAGTTTTAATAGTTTGCCTGGCACTTCCTGTCTAAAATCCCTTCTATAAAAATTCTTTGAATCTTAATTGAAGGTCTTAGCTTACTGAATCCTTATTAAGGTTAATTGGTCATGTTTCATTGATATTTAACTTACTATGATAATATGTTGTAAAGTCGTTTTCTGTCTTTAGTTTACTTTTAGCTGAATCGAAGATGATATTAATTGGAATTGGTCAATTTGTTCTTTTTCTACCATTCCTTAACATAACGCTTAACAGGTTTTTGGTCTTTTATGCGTTTGCAAACCAATCACAAAATATATGATACATACAGTATACAGTAATTATTTTAGGATTGTTTGAACACTGTTTTTAGGAAGGCTGTTTTAATGGGATGTATTACTTTTGATACAGTCCATCATGTCTCGGATGCTCCCCAACAAATCAGTTATTATGTGGCTCGGCTACCTTCCCATTCTCTCCTTAAGGTCAAACCTCCAGATGTCAAACTGTTGTTATTTTCTTTTAAGATTTTTCCATTTTGATAATAACTACTAATACTGCTAATAGAAAAAGATATCATAAATCAAATTTATTGACATTAAACATTGGTCACTGTGATGCAAAGTAAACAAATAGTGTGATTAAAAGTGATTTAAGTGAAATTAGTACATTCTTAGGATGCTGCTGCTTTTCTCTCTATTATTTATTGCAAGTCTTTTATGGGTTTGTATTTTCTAGCACCACTAACATAGTATAAGTAAACATTATCTTATGTTTGCTTCAAAATGGCATATGATTTTCCTAGAAAAACATTGCAATCCTAAAAATTCTAAGTTATTGAACACAAACAGTAATTGAAAACCTATTTTGCAAATGAGCTTTTAAAAATGGCGTTAGTTAATGTATACTGTATGTTTAGGGGAGTGAAGAAACCCTAGCCTTTGATCAATTTTCCAACTGTATCATCATGAAACAAAGGGAATCATTGAGTAAAAAAGTTAAAAACTATTGATCTTTATTGTACGATTATAATCTTTGTGATCTCTTTGTAAAAAAAAAAGGGTTTGGAGTCAAAGTAATATAAGGCAATCCAGTTATTTCGAAATCATATTTTATCTTTATATTTTTGAAATTTGATATTAGATTTATTTTTGAAAGTAAATGTTGAAGGTATTTCAGAAAGTTGATGTAGGATATACTTGAGAAAGTTGATGTAAGATATATTTGAGAAAGCTGATGGTGGATATATTTGAGAATGTTGATGTCAGGTGATCATGAATATTGTACATAATTTGGAACTGTTTATTGGTAACTCCTGTCCTTTGTGTTCTTACACAGGTACATGGGGGTGCAGGTTTAAGTCTTGACTTCCCCCTGGCAGCCATGTATGCTCATGCACGGACATTACGTTTAGCTGACGGACCGGACGAGGTGCACAGACGTGCTGTGGCCAGAATTGAATACCGTCGGGCCAGCAAAGTCAACAAGCTGTAAACACACAGCAAAAAAAAATATTATCTAATTGAAGATATTTAGACATGTACTGATGACACAGCACAGTGATTTCTTACTGAGTGGTAGTCAGTATGGATAAATAAGTTACATGTTAAAAATGTGAAGTTAATCAATCCTAAGCTAGAATCCACTATAAACAGTTTAAGTACATGTATCTGTGAGAAGAGAAAAATCACTTTTCAGAAAAAGAAACTTGTATTCGGGAAAGTAAATTGCAGACTTCGTTGTTTAAATTTTACATAAATATGATTTGATAAATTATCTGTAAATGAAAGTAGTAAGAATTTGTTTTGATTGAGCAGAATATTTAAATTTGTTTCTGATATATATACATGTTCTTTAAGTTCAGTTTATTATAAGCCTGTGATACTGAATATAGTGCTTCTTCATATAGTGATTATATAGATGGCAATTTGTTTTCATTAACATGATGTATAATATAATATAATTGTGTACGTTTGGAGTGTATTTTGATGGTGCAGTATACAATAATTGTGTACGTTTGGAGTGTATTTTGATGGTGCAGCTATACAATAATAGTGTACGTTTGGGGTGTATTTTGAAGGTGAAGTATACAATAATAGTGTACATGGAATGTGATGGTGACATTACACTGAAGTATATATGTGGTGTGCTGTACAGTCTGTGTGTTAAACTGTCGACAGTGTTTTATGAGACTTGGCAGCATACTTGTAAAGCACTATAATAATATGTTATCAATTATACCAGCATCAGTGATTGAAGTAATGTTTAATACCACAGGAGAGGTTCAGATATATAGATATTTGATGTTCCTGATAACTGCTGTTAAGATTTGCTCAAACATTGAGGCTGATTTTGTATAATTGTACATTTTTTATGCTTATTTGTACATGAGCTTTGATACTACATCTGTGTAATTGAAAATTTCTATACTGCTTGTTTTGTAAACAGTGTCATTTACAATGTTATATCATATGCAATCATAGTTTTACAAAAACAAAGAGAATACATTTGATAATAACAGAATACGGTGTTTGTTAAAAGTGAACCGTAATAATGAATAATGTTAAATACCAGTTTTGAAGTTTTTTGAAACTCATATAATATCTACTAAGCAGCACTTGTTTACCAAATATCATTACATTTAGTTATCAAACAAATACAGGAAGCAGAAACCAAATTTCCATTAGGAAAGGATTTTGTTTTTGTAAGTTGAGTAAGTTTAATAATAATCTGCTATAAAATGAAATTCATTAAGAGAGTTACTTTCTTGCCTCCTAAGAAGTGCCTGCCCTATAGAACTCTGACCAGTAGCTACCTGTGAATAAAATGCCATAAAGTTTCCTAAAATAAATGACCTTGACCAAACATTAAGGTCAGAGGATTTGAATAGGAATTTTTTTTTCAAATGGCATCATGTAAAATTTCCTGAGGTTTATAGCCATGATACACTAGTATGTTATAAAGCTCAGCCATGCACATGGTGTTATGTATTGTGTTGAGGTCATAGGTCAACTTTGAGATTTGGCTGGGGTAAAACGCTCTAAAAAAACTCCTGTTAAGTTGAAGATGGCTTAAGGTCATGTGACTGGTAGCAACTTACAGGTTGTGCAAATTGTTAAGGTCATTTAGTCTGCTACATGTAACAGTATGCTTGCATCAACTTTTTAAATCAACTTCTTAATAATCAAACAGCCTAAAATCTAGGTGTTTGGCGAGTAGCATGCAGGATTAGACGGTTATCAAGTTTGTTAAAATGAATGATTTTGAACCACTTTCTAGGTACCAAAGATCAGATGTTTTAAAACTTTTCAAAGAACTGAAGAACCAAAAAGCATAAGTTCATGATATTTGGCCTGTAGCATACTGGAGTAGAGGACTACTAAGTTTCAGTTGATGTACCTTGACTCGCATTTAAGGTCACATGTATCAAATGTCTTAAACCTTTAAACTAAATCTTCTAAATAACCAAGAGGTCAAAGGTCATGATGTTTAGACAGTAAGCTTCTATCGCATCACTTTTAACTAAGTCATTTTTTATCAACGTTCTTGTCACAGGGTTCAAATGTGCTTAAAACTTATAAAAATGTTCATGCCTAGACGAGTTAACATTTAGAGTGCTAGAATATTACTCTATGAACTTTGTTCAATTATCAACTTTGTTCAATTACCTGACCTTGACAAGCTTTAAGGGTGACGGGAGTAAAACATAAATTCTTGCTACAAAAACGGATAAGGTGCAGAGTAATGGCATTGTGGATGATTGAATCAATGGCATTTTAAATTTGATTCATGCAGTGCACATGCGTTAAAACATATACAAGTGATTTTACATTTCATTTTAACAGGACTTCTCATGAATTCAATAATGTATATTAAATCAAATCTACAATTACACCAAAATTGTCAAGTAATTTAGTTCTAAAACAATATGATATTTGATATCAAAGTTTTACTTTATACACAAACAATGTACATATCAAACTCATCGTGACTGACTGGTCCCTTCGTCAAGCTTCTGACTGAGGGAGCAGTTTGCACTGTTTACCAGTATAATGAGGTGACAAAATTGTCCATTTTATTTGTCGCTCGACACAAGACGTTTCGCCTATCGATAGTGAATAGACTTTATCAAATAGGTTACTGGTTTGGTGTAGATCTAGCCCACTCTAGCTCAATCATGGGTCCTATATAGAAGAAACTGTGAGGAAACTCTGTCTGAGCAGTAAGGCTGTATAGTGTGAAGAAGCACACGAATTGAGGAGTTTTCAGCAGAATTTTTAAACTACACTGCCTGTTAAAAGAACTGGTGGATGATGGTGATGACTTGCTGGCTAATAACTTGTTTTTGTTGTGACCATTTTTGATTGCAGATATGCACAAAAATACGAATACCTAGTAAGATTGCATACAGAACATGTGTAGGAAGATTGGAGTCGATAACTATATCAGTTATTGAAAAGGAGTCGAATGTCTTAGTCAAAGCCCATTGCGACCATTTTTCTTTGGTCCAAAAAGTTAAACCTTATAAGGAGGGGTTTTTTTTGCACCCAGTTTGGACTTGAAAGCAGTAGCTGTTCATGAGAAGATGATGTTAAAAAAATCTTAGTCAATCAGTGGCCAGGACAGCCATTTTGAATTGTGGATCTACAAAATCATAGCACTTTTTTCGGCACTTCATAAGGAACATTTATACAAAGTTGAACTCAGTTGCAGTCCTTGAGAAGTAATCGAAGATGTCTCAACTTATCAAAAGTCAGATTTAGATTTGTTGATCGATTAAAAAAGTAAGAGCACTTTGCAAGGAACATTTGTACCAGGTTTGGAGTCAATAGTTGCAGGAGTTCTTAAGAAGATGAAAATGTCTTTGACTATCACAGGCCACGGCGGCTATTTTTTTTTTTTTTTTTATCGACCCAAAATGTAAGAACACTTTGTCGGGACTTTCAGAGGGACATTTTCACCAAAATTTTAGTCCATTTTAGGAGCAGTTCTGAACAAGAAGTCAAAACTATCTTAACCAATCAGAGCTCACGATGGCCTTTTTTGAAGTTTTGATAACATCATAAGGAACATTGGTATCAAAATGGAGTTAGTAGCTGCAACAATTCTTGAGAAGATGTTGAAAATGACTCAGCCTATCAGAGCCAAGATTGGCCAATTAGAATTTAGATTACGCTTAAAATGTAAAAACTCTTTGTTTAAACTTCATAAGGAAGATCTGCACAAAGTTAAGAGTCATGAGCTTTCGCAGTTTTGGAAAAAAGGTCGGGATGTCTTAGCTAAACAAAGGCCAGGTTAACTTTGTTGGATTTTGGATCGACCAAACAGAGCAATTTGCAAGGACCTCACAAGGTACATCTGTACCACGTTTTGAGTCGATAGCTACAGGAGTTCTTGAGAAGAAGATGAAAATATCTCGGTCAATCAGAGGCCAGTGTGGCTATTTTGATGTTTGCATCCACCCAAAAAGTAATATTTTGTCTGGACCACACAAGCGGATTTATTTTGCACCAAATTGAGAGTGAATAGCTGCATCGGTTCTTGAGAAGATGTTCAAAATGTCTCGGCCAATTAGAGCGAAGGAGGGGCCTTTCGAATTTTGGAGAGACATTATTTCAGTCTCATGAGGAATCAAGGTCTGGATTCAATGGTAGTGGTAGTAGTTCATGACAAGAAGTCGAATATGTTTTGGTCTATTACAGGCATGGACGGCAATTTTGAAGTCTGGATCGACCAAATGATAAAGAAAGGTAACAAGCAACAGGCACCACTACACCCCTCTACCTGCACGGCAACGCTAGTAGGGAGTGACGGGAGGCTAACTTTTAAACTGAAGGAGGAAGCCGTAGTACACGGGGGGTATCATTGTGTCACTGATTGATATATAGCTGAAAACACGTCATTAATATAAAGAGGACAAGTAGGGCTCGAACCTAGGCATTTGTCCGTGGCCGACTCTCGATTACACATAATAAAGGAGCTCCAACCTGACACCGCTGCGCCACCGGGAAATCCCGAGAACGCATTGCATACTTTAAATACATGTACATCCAATCATGATAGTGAATACTTATATGCTGAATGTAAGGTAAAGAGTATTATCTATTTCCAGAAGGCGACACGTATGAAGAAGACCAAAGGGAGGATATGGTATTTACATATTATATTTTAGTAAATAGATATCTAATTTTGTCTTCGTAATGCGGACATTTGTGACAATATGTGAATATCTTCTATGTCATTCCTATTTCATAACGTTTATTATCTATTTCCTATTTTGACATTAGTATACCACATTCAATAGTTAGCTTGTTTGCTGATTTTCAGATGTACCCAAAGTTACAGCTTTATCTCTGTACCTGCAGGCATGCATTGTGCACTTCAGACGTTGAGTATTTATAAAGTCTTTTTAAATGTCATCTCCGTGACGACGGACGGACAACGGATGCTATGGTACGACATGGGCTGGCCATTGCACCTGTTGAGCTAACGATCTAATAGTTTTGTTGTACATGTAGCTATCAGAGTGTTAACAAATAGGGGGAAATGCTAAATGTGTCGTTCATGGAGCATATCTCCATAACCAGCTAAGATTAACCTCTTACAGCTTTCATTTCATGCGGCTGCATAGTCCTCATAGCCCTGACACACTAATGTGTCCATCTACTTATATATTCATGGCCGCAGCTTTCTTTGTTTGTGTTTTACATCATATTAACATATTAACAGCTTTGGTCATTTAAAGACGTGCCAGGTTTTGGTGGTGGAGGAAAGCCGGAGTTCCCGGATAAAAACCACCGACCTACGGCCAGTATCTGGCGTCTGCCCTACATACGTGGGTCTCGAACCCGCGACTCAGTGGTGGAGTGCTAGTGTTAGCAGAATGTCAGACGCCTTAACCACTTGGCCACAGCCAAAATAAATGTCTACGAAAATATGGTATTTGGAGTTGTGTGTCTAGCTTCACCAAATCCATGTCCTTGTTTGTGTATTGGCAGCTTCCGACTGTTTCACTTGGCAGGGATCTACCTGACCGTCATTGTACATACACCAATCCGTAACTGCCCTGGCAAATTACGTGGGTTCGATTAACGAACCACGGTTGATCATGATAAACTAGGGCCAACCTATTTCACAATACATAACCAGGTTCAAGCATGGTCTAACATTTTTCTTTCATTGGACAATCATGTTTACAATAACTGGTCAAACCATCAACCACAGTCTAACTATGCTCTGACCATGGTCAAACCATGATGTTGCCATGATCAAATAATGACTATGCTTTTGAACATAAACTATGGTCAACCATAGCCAATAATTTGCCTAGGTAATATCTTTTTGTCACACCTTTGACATTTGGATTCCCTTAGCGGGGATCTGAAGGACTATGTTGATTTTCTCTCGTTAATTTCAAGATCAATTCTAACACAAAATGTATATAACATGGGCCAGTTGCTCGAACGTTCATTTAAAGTTAATGATGGATTAAACCTTCATTAAACCTTCATTAATTAGCATGACGTCATTAGGAAAATATTGGACCACTTGGTCTTAACATCCTTGACACTACGTACACATTTCCCGAGGGAACTTACTTTTCCTGCGATATCGCTGTAAGCGTTTGTACAATAGTTGTTATATATATATGTATGCTAGTGGGTAAATCGGAACACCATGTAAAGAATTCGAAACATCTAGCGGAAGCTATGTCTACCATTATGATTCAAGAAGACGAAGATTTCATTTCACATGCTGCTTTCTCTCTCTTTACCAAAAGCTTAGAATGAGACAGATCCTGGCGCAAAATCACAAATCCCCAGATTCAGGACATCATGGATTTACTGGAATTTGTGTTAACAACAACATATTTCAGTTTCGGAAACAACATCTATCAACAACGCTTCGGCACTGCTATAGGTCTCCCATTGTGGCCAATTTGTTCATGGAACATCTGGAGCAAGAAGCAATAGACACTGCCCTAAAGAATGCAAGCCTAGCTTACGGAAACGATATGATGACGACATACTTGAGATAATCAAGAAGGGATCACAAAAGGACCTTGGGCCTTAGCTTTTGCCTGAAAACATCATTACCGGAATATTCATTCCTTCAACGAAGGATGTCGGTGAACATTGATGTATCTGACCTGGACTATGAGTGTTGCTTCTATCGTAATGTAACAAGTTCTGTCTGACATGGTCTTTGCCCCTTTCCCTATAATAATCGCTGGAAACACACAGAAATGACGCACCGTTTGGGAAAGTTTGATTGCAGATGCAGAAAGTCAAAGCAAATTAATATACTAATTTATCATGTGGTCATTTCTTCGATTAAGAACACAACAGTGGTTTTAAAAATCAAAAAATAAAATATCCATCTCAAAGGTGTTATTAATAAATCTGTGATGTAGCCAGTGGTGTCTGACCGTGTTTTCATCTACAACCCTATACCTATACTACAAATACAGGCTTTGAACTCGTATATAACTACCTATGGTGTACATAATGTTCTTTGACCTTGAACTCTTCCATCAGAGGGTTGACCTCCTATTCTTGTCCGATCTGGAGAAATGTAGTAACACTGCTTCATGTGGGATGATATCTTCTTTAATGAACCTTTTTACGCGGTAGAAAATGTCCTTGGCCCTCTCTGGCAGGGCCTCATGTGTAACGGTCATCATACCTGTTAGCAGGGGGGAACATTGTAGTGATGTTCCGATTAATCGACTAAGTCGAGCATCGGTCAGTTAGGCTACCAAACTGATTAATCGACTAAGTCGAGCATCGGTCAGTTAGGCTAACAAACTGATCAATCGAGTACAAAATCCATGATCGATTTTAGTCGGAATGCTTATGTGTAGATATTATGGAGTTTTCAGTAGACATTTTCCTCAGCTACTTTGTTCAATTTATGGCATCATCACTGCATGACTTTCTTTTAGCTCATAGCTGCTAGTTAGGACTATATATTACAAATTCAGTGTTTGAAGAGAGGCATTTCTCATATTATAATTACATGGTATCACTTCTTTGTTTACCTAAGTGACTCGCAACAACAGCATGGAGGATTCCACTATGTAGTTCTACAAAACGATTATTAATCGATCATCGGTTGGTTAATGGTAACCAATGATCGATCATAAAATGTCAACCGATTCCCAACACTAGGAAACAATATGCAAGTTTTCGTCTCAGTAATGGCTTACAATGAGATTATTCAAAGATTTATAGATAAAGACTCAGACAGTCATGTCAACTTAAATGACATCAGATGAAAAGTGTACTGTAACGTTAAAACTGATATTGCACTTAACGTTTTTCATTTGTATTTGTTTGATTTAGATAGAGAGTATTGGGCCATGTGGTGTGTCCTGTATAAAGAAGACTGTTCTTTCACAAGTATGATATGATGGAAAGTAATATGAGTTCTGTGTGAAAGGAGTTTTCTCATCCTATTTTTTTGCATTTAGAATCTAAAGTATACTGCTAATTAAATCCTAAATTGACATTACGGGTCAGTCTTTAAAGATAACTCCTTAAGTGCGGCTCCGCTGGGGCAGAGAAAAAGGGCCCGAAAATGAACGTTGAGTGTTGAGTCCCGCTCCAGGAAAACAATAGGCTAACACTTCTCCTTAAGTATGGATTAAGTGATTTTCGGTGTATTTGATTGACGATTCAATGTGTTTGGATTCGAGTGCTATATGATTAAAGGATATGCCCCCATCCTTCCCGCCATACTCTTGTTTAGTTAAGATTTTTAAATAATCTGTCGAGCGATATAGATCAAGCATCAGGTACTGTTTGTATCCTCTTGTTATTACAGAGTAGCCATTTCGTATGAATAAGTTATCTGGTAAAGACTGTTGTCAGAATAACTGATGTCATTGTTCATGTCATAGCCATTACTTTCTAGTACAGTTAGGAGCTGAAATCTAGTTTTGTTTGAATGCACAACAAAGTTATTCATGTTTTTAATTTCTGATTTATATTATGGCTATTAAGTTGTTGGGTGAAATTCAACGAGCTAGCATACATTCCCTAATATCCCAACACCTCCGGTGCTGTATTGCATGAGCTCAAATTAAAGTAATGCAATTTTGTTATGAAATGTCCCACTCTAAAAAAATGAAATGGGAAATATTTTATTCGACCAACAATGAAAAAAATTGGAGAGTTCATCCGAGAACAAAACCATAATTTAAAATTTACAATGTATTCCTAAAAAAGCAAATGAAATTTAAAAAAATAATTATTACTTCATTCGTATATGTCAATATATCCTTCGCGTACACTGTTGTTACACTTTAAATGATGTTGATACTGTTATCCAGTGACAATATTGTGGATAAATGTAACCAGTGTACCACTTCTATCACATTACTTAACATCTTTGATGATATTTTTATCCTACACATGTTTTACAAATTAAGATTAATTTGGCTAGAAAATAAATATTTAACAACAAACGTTAAACAACGTGCTTTACTTCAAAATATATCACAAGTTAAATGCTTACAGTTGAATAACAGTTTGCTCTGCGACACCGGGCGGAGGGAAGGACAACGGACGCCACATGTACGGTATATATCATAGGCTTGCCATCAGATCAGTTTAGCTGAAAATGCACCATCGTATAATAGTACTAGGCTCTTTGGCGTTGGTAGCCTAATGAAAACATGTATATCTTTAAAAAAAAACCCAATTAAACTGACTCATCGAAACTGCATACAGAGCACACAGACGACGAGATAAAATTTCACCTCGACGTAACTCTTTATCATGCTGCACCGTCAAATTTGATAATATTTGACAGCAATACCTTGATCTACTGACTTAGGATATGTTCCTGCCAAAATCCCATCGTGTCAATATGCTACCATAAATTGCCTGTCAACAAACTTTGGTGTGGTTAAATAGTGCAAAGAATAATAGCAAAGTGTGGCAAACCCTTAATCGAAATATTTAATTCTTAGAAATATATAACCAGGGGTCCACTACACATCCCTGATATAACCAAGGAAAGAATTTGAAAGGATCCTAGTTAATAACACTATTAGTTATCTAAATATCAGTATACAATCTTACTATTGAATATGGAAGGTGGAATACTATTAAAAGAGGAACCGGATAATGTGATAGGGAATAATGAAGAAGAAGATGAATTCGAAGCACAGTGTATTTTGAAATGATCTTGGTACGCTGACATAAACATACAATATGAACTAATTCAAATAACTTTGAACAAGGGAGGTAATTCCAACAGTATAGGCACTATAAGTTTGTCAAATGTTCTCAAAAAACAGCTCCTTTATAAAGACATAGAAAGAACAAAATACAAATATAATAGGATATATATATTGTGTTTAAAAACAATATATTTTAGTAAATACGGTTCATAAGGTACATCATACAAGCATAAATTTATCCCACTGCTAATTAGTAGTATTGTATTTAAAATCAGGAAACTGGGTAAATTTGTAGTACATTCAAACAAAGGGGGATTTTACTAACGTTACTAGATATAGATCAGTTTCCAGTGTCATAATGTCCCTAGGTTTAGATTGACGCGATCATTACGTGGTCTGGTATATGTTGTAAAATAGTCACCAGAAATACGGAGTAAGTAGATGCACAGAGTGTAAGTTAACATTTAAACTGCACCAAATGAGTTCATTTAGGAACCATCAGTGGAATTAATATTCAAAAGATTGAAAATCTATGTTTAGTATGTTCCGCATTATGTGTAAAAAGATTAACTAAGAAGTCGGAAGATTAAACGTTATAAAAACGCACGCACCATAAATAACCTCATAGATAAGATAATGTTTACACACAGGTACTAGCCTCGCTTATCCTATAATCAAGGTTGCTAACTCTGTCCGCCTTGTAAAATGACCCCGTTCCAGAAAACATGTGATTAAGTCATAACCGTTCATAGTACATTTTTATGACGCCGGGAACAGTATAGATCGACAGGAAAATATCTTTTCTTTAATTTGATGTATGATTTGCCATATATCATGCAGTGTAATTTTCGGTAGACTTCATGAAACATCGAAAAATGGTAAAAAAAAAAAAGTTAGAGAAAATGGCAGGCTCTGTTCAGATTTCCGATCGACAGCCTGCATGACCAGCTTGAAAACTAGACTCGAGGGTCCGACATGATAATGTAAGACCATGAACTATCATACTAGTAAGTTTGTTTACTATCGTAGAAACACTGTACCGACATTGATTAGCGGACATGTCGTGTGTTTTGCGCTACCCACTAGGGATTTAGCATGTCATCCCGTGGACAGCACAGTGTCCGACCAACTGAAATTCGACAATTTGTCGATGTTTCATGATATATGGCAAATCATACATCAAATTAAAGAAAAAAATATTTTCCAGTCGATCTAGACTGCTCCCGGCGTCATACTATGAACTTATATGACTAAATCACATGTTTTCTGGAACGGGGTCATTTTACTAGGCGGACAGAGTAAGCAACCTTGATTATATTATAGGTGTAGTTTTTACCAGGCGACTGGGTTAAAGTCCTGTATTTCACCCGACACCACTGATTTAGTGGTGACCATGTTTTCAGACAACGGACGACATATTTAGGACGTAGGAAACATAAAACTAAGGGAAAGAAGTGTCCGAAAGTGTGAAAAGGGTAAACGTGGAACCAATAAGGAATACATCTAGTTCCCGTACAGTAAGTTGTGATAGTGAAAATAGTGTTGTGCTTTATCATTAGTGTGCGTGAGTATGTGTGTCTTTCATGCATTGCTATGTAATAGTGGTGTAGTTCTTGGTTAAAATATGACTATACCACAGTGCTTCAGTTGGTAACTCACGTTTATTTCGTTATGACATTCATTTAGCTCTGTAACAAATAATAAAACAAACATAGATACGCTGTCAAACTAGCCATACTTTCACAACTCACATACACGAAGGGAAATAACTCGTACAAGGACAAAATGATCGGAACAATACGTTACGTTATTACAATCTTCTACGATTGTCGAAGATACAATTCTACAATAATTCAGATATATGTGGTAGCTATATCTGAGTGTGGCTCAAAGCCATTGTTCAGCTACGGAGCGCACCCGTGCATGACACACGTACGTCTACAGGTACAGCTACGTCATAATAATAATATAAAAAAAATTCTATATTTCACACGTTATCACACATAAAACCATGACTTACACACAAGTGTATATTTCATTAGTACATAGTTTATGAAATAACTAATCAAATATAGTAGTCATAATGAGGTATTTTAAATATAAAGCAATTCAGATTCTTATATAACGAGATCGTTTGATCTCTCGTCTTAAATTAGCTCTTTACTAATTAATCCTTAAAACATATTACAAAAACCTACATCCTATATTTATTCTATCTATAAAAAAGAAGTGCAAGTAGAACATATTAGAAAGGTAAAAACACTTACATGTAAATTTGTTAGGTCCGTCCAGTCAAAAGAATATGTCTGACACTGACTTACACAAAGAATATGTCTGACACTGACTTACACAAAGAATATGTCTGCCACTGACTTACACAAAGAATATGTCTGACACGGACTTACACAAAGAATATGTCAGACACTGACTTACACAAAGAATATGTCTGACACTGACTTAAACAAAGAATATCCTGCCCAATTGCCCAATCGAAACAACCAATTAAATAACAGAAACTGCCCTTGAAAAAGCTACTGTTTTATTGAAATATAGAGGAATACGTCGAGTGCATTGTAGAAAAACTTTTAAATTATTTCACAATAAATATATTATAATATACATTTTCCATTCCGTAGGAGAGGGCTTGTATAGGCATTACGCCTGTTGCCCAATTCCTTTTGAAATTTGTATAAGATGCAATATTCAATAAAAAAAAATGTGAAAATGAAATGAAACAACCAATTAAATAACAGAAACAACCCTTGAAAAAGCTACTGTTTTATTGAAATATAGAGGTATACGTCGAGTGCATTGTAGAAACATATTGAACTATAGCACTCATTATCAGCTTACTTATTCTTAAGAAATGGCTTGTCGGTAATGATGTTAAATTAAGTGCCTCTCAAAACGTTTGTCAGTACACACCGAACATGTATGTTTGATAAATATAACACAGTAATTACAGAACAACTTTGTTTGATAAATAAAAAACAATAAATACCGAAAATGCTTGTTTGATAAACAAAACAAAATGAACATCGGACATGCGCATGTTTAATATACAAAACATCAATATCAAACATGTATTTATATATATGTGTTTGATAATTAAAACACAATAAATACAGAAAATGTAAGTTTGATAGATATAATCTCAGAGCGGTGATTGAGTCCAAAATGCTGAAATTTCAATTTAAAAAAATGCTGAAAACCGGTATGCTATGTCTAAATATGATGAAAATGTTGATTTCTCTATTGCATGATACACAGTTGAGTGTAAAACCAAAATCAATATATACAAGAAGATAAAAAAAAGTAACGTATGCTATATCGCTCACCCGATTATCTAAATATTTTACATCAATTAGCCCGATGTTTTCCTCCTGGGAGTCCCTTCATTTTCGGACTTTCTTTGCTGCCCCAGATAAGCCACACTTACGGAGTTATCTTTTAGGACTGATCCCTATTGTACATGAGTAGTATACTTAGCTAGCAAATGCAAAATAAATCAACATGAGGAAACTCCTATCACACAGAAACCATAATACCTTTCGTCATATCACCTTTGTGGAAGCACCTTCTCCTATAACTCAAGACCCAATGTTCTCTATCAAATTAAATAAATAAAAATCATAAACATCAAGCGTAATATCAGTTAAAGCGTTACAGTGCACCTTTCATCTGATTGAATTTAAGTAGACATGACTGTCGAGGTTATTATCTAAAAATCTTCGAATAATTTCATAGAACGGAACTTATATTTTCCAAATAACAAGCCATTACTGAGACGACACATATACATACTGTTTCCCTGCTAACAGGTATGATGACCGTTACACACGAGGCCTTGCCAGAGAGGGCCAAGGACATTTTCTACCGCGTGAAAAGGTTCATCAAGGAAGAGATCAACCCACATGAAGCAGTGTTACTACAGTTCTCCAGATCTGACAAGAAATTGGAGGTCAACCCCCTGGTGGAAGAGTTCAAGGTCAGCGAGCATTAGTTACACCATAGGTAGTTATATACACGTTCAAAGCCTGTATTAGAAGTATAGGTATAGGGTTATAGATAAAAAAAAAAAAAGGTCAGATACCGCATGCTACATCATAAATGCCTTTCAGCACTCTTTTGATTCTAGATTTTATAAACTACACTGATGTATCTTTAATTGAAGAAATGACCACATGGTGCATAAGTATGTTGCCTTTGTTTGGCTTTCTCCATCTGCAATCACAATTTCCCAAAAAGTATGTCATTTCTGTGCTTTTTTAGCGATTACAATAGGGTAATGGGCAAGAACAAGGTCAGACAGAGCTTGTTACAGTAGGTTAGAGCTATGTCATGTATACAAATTTTCACCGACATTCTTTTTTGAAGGAATACATGTTCCAGTAATGACGTTTTCAGGCTAAAGCTAAGGCCCAAGGTTTGTGGAACCTGTTCATGCCAGTAGAATCTGACCCAGATATGAAGTACGGAGCTGGACTGACCAATCTTCAGTTCGCCTTCATGGCGGAAGAGATGGGCAAGTGTGTGTGGGCCGCCGAGGTAAGTAACACAAAGTCTGGTTAAAACTGGATCGAGATAATGCTGTCAAATATTTGGCTAGTTTGACGAGAAAGATGACTGACCAAATGTTACCTGTGTTCTGTGCTGAATGTTTCCAGGCGTTTAACTGTTCGGCGCCAGACACGGCTAACATGGAGACACTAGTGAAGTATGGTACAGAGGAACAGCAACAGCAGTGGCTGATCCCCCTCCTCAACGGCGAAATCAGGTCTTGCGTCGGCATGACAGAACCCCATGTAGTCACTGGTTTTTCTGATGATGATAAATTGTTCATGCAGATATCAAAATTTAACATGTTGTGAAATAATGAAAGAGTCTAGTTTAAAGAAGGCCTGTTAAGTTGTTAACCAAATTGTAGGTGGCGTCGTCTGATGCGACAAACATTGAGGCGTCAATCGAGCGAAGGTCTGACCACTACCTAATCAACGGTCATAAATGGTGGACATCAGGTAAGAACTGACCAATCGCTTTTTATGTTAATAATTAACTTTCCTCCCTTGTTTCGGTTTTCAATGTCATTCTGCTTAGCCTCATCTGTTTATTTCTTAACTACAAAAGGGCATGACATTTTACCAGGTACATATGGTCCCATTTGCTTTTGAAAGTTTATAGAATGCAACGAATTGTGCCATAACATTGAAGTGCCTTTATTCTCAAATATAATATCCTTTTGATATTTAAAAGGTGCCCTTCTCCAGTTTAATATGTTTCCTTGGTTGTTGAGAAGTGCTCTCCTTCTCCAGAATAATGATTCATTGGTTGTTTACAGGTGCTCTATGCCCTCGTCCTCCAGCGTAAATGATCTCGTAGTTTTTGACAAGTGTCAGTCTTTAATATAAAGATTTTTGTTTGATGATAGGCGCTATTCATCCCAAATGTAAAGTGTGCTTCTTCATGGGAAAGACTGACAAAGGAGCCAGCATTCATAAGCAACAAAGCATGATCCTCGTTCCCATGGATGCCACCGGGGTCAAGGTCATACGACCTTTGTCTACATTTGGCTACATGCATGAACCAGGTACTTAATCATTTCATTATTTATACAGAACAGTGTATAGTCAAATATCCAGTGCCAATACAAATTTTGATTTTGTTAAGTTTTGTTTGAAGACCAAGGAATTTTATTAAAATAAAGCATAATCATATTAAGACATCATTTTGTTTTAATAGCGGGCCACGCTGAGGTGATATTTGATAATGTGAAAGTACCACTAACTAACATTCTGCTTGGAGAGGGTCGGGGGTTTGAAATCGCTCAGGAGAATCTAGGTCCTGGCAGGATCCATTTTTGTATGCATATGATAGGTAATGCAGAGTTAGCCCTGGAACTAATGATCAAACGGGTGAGTAAGAAGTAAACAGAGCTCTGAAATGCAAGGTTAAATATACCATAACCAAGAGGCTCAAATGTAATACTTGGAAACTCCGAGTTAGATTAGTAAGTAATCAATGGAGAGCTACTTCATTTCTATTGTATATATGTGAAAATGAATTTGATCTAATTATTTATTTGATTTTTGTTTTTCACGGAAAAAAACCCCATTGTAACATATCACTTACCTTCGTACGACCTACTTCAATAATGACCAATACCTCAACTTGAAATACATTTATGTTTCAGACCCAAGAACGCGTTGCATTTGGGAAGCCCCTGGCCGCTCAGGGCACCATCCAAGCCGACGTGGCCCAGTGCCGGATCGAGATTGACCAGGCTAGACTACTCACTCAGGGCCGCCTACATCATGGATAATTTTGGAAATAAGGTATGTAACAAGGGCTTAAATGTCAGAAAGGTCCTTAATTAATGACCGCCAATGTCATGGCTAACCAGAGTATTGATTTGTCAAATTATGAAAACTGACGTTTATAAAATCTCCATAGCATAATGTCCTTCAACATGTAAAGAACGCGTACGGTTACCATATTATATAATGTGTTGAAGCATGTTGGTAATGTTGTCGTACCTTTTTACCAAATAAATAGAATTGAAGCGATGCTGTATGTACTGGACAGTTTCCCGAATACCACTCGGTTTCGTGAATAAACATCTGATTCACGAATGTAAATCTGAAACCGAGCCATCTTTGTGTCCATCCTCAACGTTACATTTAGCCCGAGTTTCCTCTGGCCCAGATAGATCTATCTGTCAAAATGTCTAAGTCTGGTGTCAGGGCCAGAGGAAACTCGGGCTACGTTACATGATGATATCACAATGATGTACTTCAGATTGTTTAGCTCTCGCACGATTGTTACTTTTTGTAAATTTACGGGTTAGATGATACAATGAACATGCTATAATTTCAAATATCCTTCTGTTATCTATAATGTGTTGATTTACAGGGAAAGATTATCACGATTTCAAATATTTCATTAATATTCATTTAAACACAAGTACACAAGAAAAAGAAGTTAGCAATCGTTGTTCTGTTCCGGCGTTAAACAAAACAAACTTTACAGAACCGTCAAAAGAAGGTTTATTTGAAATAATAAAGTTGGTGGGGAAATCCATCCCAATACATTTGATGTTTTCAGTTTATCTGTACCATTAACCGTTAACATCCTACACCATTTTGAATATTTCCTTCGATCTTTTTAAAATGCACAAATGTAAAAACATGTATTTCTCCAATGTTTATGCTGGTTAATTCATTTGAACATGCATGCTATAAAGGTTTTCCTTGATGTCCTTCCTAATTTGTTAACATTGCCCGTTTTTATCTTAATTGCGATAACTCATTAATAGGTGAATTGATTAAGTTCATCTTTGGACATATTTTGTAGAGTAACATGATTTTCTCAGAAACATTTTTGTGTCAAAGGTCAACTTTTGGTTTTCAACAAGAGTCAAAGTTTAAATGCACTTTATTGGGTTACAAACTTTATTTTTTTCCCTAAGTTCTACAAGGTTTAGAGCACATGTATTAATATTTGATATGAAAGATGCTGAGATGTTTGGCTATCAGGTTTGAAAATATGGTTGAACCTGATCAACATTCAAGGTCACATGTTTCAAAAAGCTCAAATTTCTTTAAACCAAAATATTTCGAAAAATGTTTCAGGCATTTACATAATATTTTAACATGGTGTCGAGGGTGAGAGTCCGCTTCTTTTAACTTTAGAAATATTTTCGTCTCAGAGGTCAACTTCCGGTTTTTGGTTGGGCTCAAATTTCAGAACTGCTATTTTGGGTAACAACCTCTAATTTTTATTTATCAAGTTCTACGAAGTCAAGAGTCTTGATATTTTATCTGTAAGATGCTAGCGAAGATGGTTGGCTAGCAAGTTTGACCTTGATCAACTTTCAAGGTCACGGAGGTCAAATTTCTTTAAATCAAAATATTTCGAAAACTGTTTCCGCATTTAACATTATATTTTGGTGTAGTGTATAGGGCATGGAACCACATATTTCGCTCAAGAAACATTATTTTAAGAATTGATTCTAACATGTTTTACATAAAATAGTAATTTAAGAAAACATTATCTGGCTACGCCATACGATTTTATTTCATACAGAAAATTTGCAGCATTTTGTTATTCACTAGAATATTGAAAAGGATTCTTATTAATTGAGCAAGTTTATTGTTACATAGAAAGTTTACAGCTACAGAATAAGGACAATTATAGGTTTTTATTTAAATTACAGGTTGCAGCTGCAGACATATCCATGATAAAGGTTGTGACACCAAATATGGCGCTGAATGTTATAGACAGGGCTGTACAGGTATATATCTGGCGATATAATAGAGCGGTGTAAACCTAGGAAGGTCTCCTGACATATGACAGGGGAAAGTATAGATAACATTGTCCATAGTTTCGTTACTGACTCCTACAATATGAGATTCAGTAAAAATCACCACCTAGGGATGCTTCCAGTCAAATTTAGTTAAATTCCAATTAGTGGTTAAGAAGAAGAAGTCGTTTAAAGAAATTGTTGCAGACGGACGGACGGACGGACGGATGCCGGACGCCACGGTATGGCATAAGCTCACCTTGGTCCTTCGGATAGCCAAATACCCAGAATTTGACGCCCGATTCATCGGAACAATTACTCCAGTGTTATCAACATATAATCATCAACAAGAAACAAATAAGTAATGCTTGCTTTGTCTTAGACTTACAATTTTAATAGATTTTTTCTTAATTCCCTTTTCAAGTAATAAGTGAACATTCTTGAGATCAGATATCTTTGATAATGTAATATTTAGCAAACGTTTTTCTTCATTGCATGTTCTAGGTGCATGGAGGTGCAGGTCTAAGCCAGGACTTTCCGCTGGCATTTATGCTTGCTTCTGCCCGGATATTACGGATAGCTGATGGATCAGACGAGGTACACAGACGCGCCGTGGCCAGAATGGAATACCGTCGAGCTAGACAGATCAACAAGCTGTAAACGCACAGCAGCAAAACTGACAATCAAGTTTGGGAGAATAAAATACAATGAGTACTAATAGTTCGTTGTTTTGCAACATGTTTGATAATAGAGTGGCCAAAACTGTCTGTAGTGGTTTTATAATGTATGTTTGACATATATGTGAAATTAATGCATTCAAATAATAAAAGTCAGAATGAAAAAGAGCTTGAGGTACTCTACAGCAAATGCCAGAAGCAACCTGATATTAGGTTATTTAAAAATCAATTTAAATCCCTATTGATAATGAACTAATGCATATAAGTATGTATATTAATATGAGAAATGTGTTAAAAGAAGATTCACTTTTTACATTTAACTACTATTCAGGACTCAAATACTTATTTGACAGCCACTTTACGGACTCGCCACGTTGTGGCTTAGCGAGTTGTTTCCAGTGTTTCAGAGTTGAGACACTGAGTAGTTTCCAGTGTTTCAGGCTTAGTGAGTAGTTTCCAGTGGTTCAAAGTTGAGACACCGGTCATTTGTGATCTTTGATTGACAAACAAACCAGACCTGTTCGAAAGCTTGCAAAAAAAAATAATAAAAAAATTCATGTATCTCGTTCTCGAATGATACTTTAGGGGTTTATATACATTAGTGTGAAAGTCTCGAGTCATAAAAAAGTAGGAAACAATTTTAACACACAATCATTTTAAAAGCACATCATTCACAATATTGGGTAGGAATATATAGCGGAAACTGGTCAGAAAATAAATGAAGCAGCAAACCCTTATAACTCAGTAATGATCAGGTTTATTCATGTATGTAAAGATGTACATACCATTACACGTAAAACAATACATACAGTAAAAAACCTTTACAATCACATGCACGTCCTGCTTACTGCTTCCAATAAAGCAAAAAATTAAAATTAATATCTGATAAGAGACATTGTCTTATGAGACTCGGTCAAGTTCTATACCATAATCATATAAGGAAGTAATTTCTTTAGACTTGTCATGTTACAGAAACTGTTCTGCTAAATTGTTTAATAACAATAACACATCAATATCAGAGACAACAATATAAAAGGCAATTAAACCTGTGGAATAATAGAATCTCTCACCCCCTTTGGGGTGAGATAGGGGAATCTGAATCCGAGGGGGAAGATTCTTAAGTTGCCAAACACGAGGCTTTGTCAAGTGTTTGGCAACTTAAGAATCTTTCCCCAAGGGTTTAGATTCCTCTATCTTACCCACAAGGGGGAGGGGGTGAAGGATTCTTTTTCTCTTAATAATAATAATAATAATTGGAGGTTCTAATATACCACTTTATCACAACCTAGTTCATCTCAAAGCGGTTCACAAATTATGATCCGTGGTTATAGGGCCTTTGCAACCAGCCAATACATTTCTCAACTCCCTGGGGAGCATACAGCCGAAGCTGCCATTTCGGTGCTAACAGGTAGCATTCAACAATTCTAACACTGCCCAACCATTTACAGCCGAGTAGACTGGAACAAGAGGAGTAAAGTATCTTGCTCAAAGATACAACACATTGCCGTGACGTGGCGCAAACCTGCAACCCTTCGGTCACGAGCCCGGCGTCCTACCACTGGACTACCGTGCCTCTTACCCTGTTCTCTCATTGTGTATCATATACACAGTGTAATGACAACGTTTCATGCTAAATTCAGTGTTGACGTGTCGTTGATGGATTGTTGACGTGACGTCATTGTATTGTTGAAGTGATCTCATACCGTTTTTATGGATAGGGGAATCCTCACGTCCCAACCCTAGGGTGAGACAAGGAAATCTCACACCGGTAAACGTGTGGATACACCTGTCCAGGGTAAGAGAATTTAGATTTCTCCCACCCTTCACAAGTGTCGCCCCCTAGGGGGAGATAGCCTCTCGTGCCGAATAGCTCGTGTTCAATTGTGAGTCATTAAAATGTGTCACTTGTAATTGTGACGTCATCAAAAGTGAATGACGATATTCATACCCCACACATGCTTTTGTAAACAAGCATGGCAGACTACTGTCGACGGTGGAGTCGTGACTGAAATAATAGGATGGGAAAAAAATAATCATCCTCTACCTTGAGGGTGTAACAGAGAAATCTCGAACCCTCGGGGATGATTTTGTTTTGTTTTTTGGTTGTTAAACCCTCGGCAGAGCCTTGGGTTAGACAACCAAACAAGAGGCCCATTGGCCTTAACGGTCACCCGAGTCCTACAATATTTATTTTTGTTGTTGAAATATGTACCAATTTGAGTAAAAAATAGTATAATGTTAACTTAACTTTGTCAGGACCATGAGCTGATCATTCCTAGACCAATTTTAAGTGAGATCGGCCTATTAGAACTTAGTAGCAAAATAGCGGCCATGGCAGCCAAATTGTATTTCTGATTGACCCGAAAAATAACAACACTTTGTCAGGACCATGATTCGATCATTCCTACAAAGTTTCAGTTCAATCGGCCAAGTAGATCTTTACTTTAAGTTTGAAATAGTTTACCAAAATGGCAGCTGTGGTGGCCATATTGGATTTCTGATCGACCTGAAAAATAACAACACTTTGTCAGGACCATGAGTCAATCATTCCTACAAAGTTTCAGTTCAATCGGCCTAGCAGAACTTGACTTTAAGTTTGAAATATGTTTTCAAAATGGTGGCCGTGGCGGCCATATTGGATTTATGATTGACCTGAAAAATAACAACACTTTGTCAGGACCATGAGTCGATCATTCCTACAAACTTTAAGTTCAATCGGTCCAGCAGAACTTGACTTTAAGTTTGAAATAGGTTTTCAAAATGGCGGCCGTGGTGGCCATATTGGATTTCTGATCGACCCAAAAAATAACAACACTTTGTCAGGACCATGAGGCGATCATTCCTACCAACTTTCAGTTCAATCGGTCCAGCAGAACTTGACTTTAAGTTTGAAATAGGTTTTCAAAATGGTGGCTGTGGCGGCCATATTGGATTTCTGATCGACCCGAAAAATAACAACACTTTGTCAGGACCATGAGGCGATCATTCCTACCAACTTTCAGTTCAATCGGTCCAGCAGAACTTGACTTTAAGTTTGAAATAGGTTTTCAAAATGGCGGCCGTGGCGGCCATATTGGATTTCTGATCGACCCGAAAAATAACAACACTTTGTCAGGACCATGAGGCGATCATTCCTACCAACTTTCAGTTCAATCGGTCCAGCAGAACTTGACTTTAAGTTTGAAATAGGTTTTCAAAATGGCGGCCGTGGCGGCCATATTGGATTTCTGATCGACCCGAAAAATAACAACACTTTGTCAGGACCATGAGGCGATCATTCCTACCAACTTTCAGTTCAATCGGCCCAGCAGAACTTGACTTTAAGTTTGAAATGTAAAATGTTAACGGACGACGGACGAAAACGGATAGCAATAGGTCACTTGAGCTAAAGCTCAGGTGACCTAAAAACCTTTAAAAAAAACATCACCCCTCGGGTAGGAGATTTCTCTGTCACACCCTCAAGGTAGGGGAAGATTCTATTAGTCAACTTAAGTGGTATGCTCATTAATGATGTATCAGTATTTGTAGTAATGTATTTGTCTGGACAGGTTTTAAAGCCTCTTCTATAAGAAGCCCCTTCAACAGAAAATGTTAGGATTGTAAGCACTCTTCATAAAAAAACAGTCTGAAGTTGAGCTGTGAACAACATTTATACACTAATATGAAAACGAATTGATTTACACTGTTTAATTCATTAAATATGTAACCAAATACATGCGACATTATTTTCAAACCTTAGTGGTCTTCCCCTTGAATGAAATAAGGAATTGTTTAGTTCCTTACAATTACTAAATTACTAGTTTCTCTGTTCAAAACAATCAACAAATTTAACATTAAAAAGAATTTCTTAATAAATTTCAGGTCACATGCAAATTTTGATTTCTCTCTATTCTTCCTTGTAAATATCGGCAAGAAACAAACAAATTTTGATTTCTTGCTATCCTTCCTTGATTTTCATGTCATTGGAGAGTAGCCATGTCTGAAATAGTAAAACAAATTCATTTTAGTGATCATATAATTTTAGATTTATGAGAAAAACAAAACCACCTCAATAAATATATAAAATAATTATTCATTAACTATCAGTTACATTAGCGACCATATAATTTGATATTAAACATCAATTACTACACAAACATATTTCCAAAAGACAAATATTCCAGCATTAATTCACAAGGCAAAGTATTCCAAATTCAAACTTGTGAATCTTCATTCCTACTTAATAGCCTGGGATATCTGTCACTTGTTTATGTCACCAGTAATAGCCTGGGATATCTGTCACTTGTTTTATGTCACCAGTAATAGCCTGGGATATCTGTCACTTGTTTTATGTCACCAGTTCAAACAAGGAGTTTAAAATACAAAAGCGAAAATATTTTTTATGGAAAAAGAAGTTTACAGTATTTACTGAACATGTTTTGTGTACCTGTCCGACACTGTACAGTTGGTTGTCCTGGGTCGTACTGACAATGCGGGCTCCGATTATGTCCTTGTCACTGTTCCTTGTGTTGGTTTTACAGCAGCCACGACAGCGTAGGTATTGTACACAGCACCCTGTCTCCTCCGACCATGTAGAATTCATTGTAATACCTGTAAGTGATAATTGTAATACCTAGTCAGGTACTGCATGTAGCATCTGATCCCACCTAATAAACCACATCAATATACTGTTACACATGCACACAGCATGGAGTGGACAACTGGAGGACTATTGAAGCAAAATTTGCAAAAATTCAAATTTCCGACATCAAAGACAAAATCATATCTCTTGAACTGATCCTCTGATATTTTTACTTAAATCAAATTTTAATTTTAATAACATTTTACCTTCCACATTCACTTCTACAGGCAAAAACTGGTCTGGTTTGGTGACCACAGTGTAGATATACGCCGCATTCTTGTGACGCGATATGCCTTTCAGGAAACCAGGAATTCTCAATCTCTTTTCAAAATCTGACAACAAGCAATCCATTTGATTCAATCAATAGGTGACATAAATGTTACATTATTATCAGTACACTAACAACTATGATGTCTTGCAGCGTCCCTATTTTAAAATATTGTAGACAGCATAGGAAGGAAAAATTAAGTCGATTACATTAACAGAAAAAGCAGAGAAAAGTCGAGAAGTCTTAACTTATTAACCAAAATGTATTTATACAACTGTCATAACTAAAATTTTATCTGTCTGACATTTAAAATACTTGATGTGCTGAAAATGTAATTGGTTTCACAAAGTAACTATCCCTGAACAAAAGGTAGGGTTACATGTAGCAAACAGTGGAATGTAAGACTTGTAATATAACTGACCTTTGAGGTTTGGAATGATGACTGTTTCACAACTTGCACATGATAAACTGGGCTGATCAGAAGGCTGTAAAGGACATTAATAGCATAAGTACCCATGGCAACATGAAATGTTCGAAAATGATTTATATATTCAATATTCTGATCTTTCAAGAGCAATTACATCCCACTTTGCTAATGTTAACTTCCATATCTCAGTGCTAAAACAATTAAAGCAGTTTGAATTATCATTAAAAAATTATAACATAATATCTAAATGGACATTTAAGTGAGTCTTACTTCATTTTCTTTAGAATTATCCATGTTGTCGAGGAAGTCAACTCCTTTCGAGCGTTTGCTGGTTAAATTGTTGGACCGACTTTGAGTCTTTCGCTTTGTACCTCGCCTCCTGGTTTTCAGTGGTTCATCCTCACCATCAACTATTGACGTTTCCACCTGACAATCAGTGATAGCATTCCCAGACACAGATCTACGCTTCACTTTAAAGTCATTGTCACTGGATTCCCCATCCATGTTTTCTTGCTTTGTTCCAGATTCCATGTCGCTCTTTTTTCGGAAGATAGGCTTTCGACCGACTGGTGTTTCAGACTTTATCTTCACATCACTATTTTGTGTCCCTATTAGTTTTGTATCATCCTTGTCAGGTTGACACAGGTCATGTAGAGGGTCCTCATTGTCAGTCTGTATACCGGTGTCCTTTATATCCTCTAGCGTATCTGCATCAAACACATTAGGAGTTGTTGGTCGTTCAGTAGACATGTCCGAACATTCTCCAGATTTATTCACAACATTTTCAAATGACTTTTCAGGCAATTTACAAAACTTAAAGAAGTTGTTGATTTTGGATTCACTTCCACTTTCATTTTTACTTTTGTCCAATGGTTTTTCAACAGAGTGATCAAGGCTAGAAACACACTGAGTGGAAGAATTTTGTGCGGTAGTTGATGCGATTCCAGCACTTGAGCCGACACACGACGATTGTGTAGATACTGCGACCACACCTTTACTCGGGCCTTCTGATAGTCGTTTGGGAAGAAGAATACTTTTCATACCTGTCTTCATAGGTAAGGTTGAGGTGTGCTTTGTGAGGGGTGTTGACACAATTGTCGCTACATTTTGATTGAACGAGTCTTGTTGATTGACGGGACTATCTGGGGGCTCGATGAGGAACAACTGTTGCATAGGAGTGCCTTCATTTATCATGACATAGTAGGGTTTGTCCTGTGGCAACAATTTGGAATTGAGTAACTTAAGAACTTGCTCATGAGCTGGTCCCAGCATAGAACCCTGTCCAGGAACTGAAGGCTGGGTAGGGTCAGATGAACTTTGACCCTTAATGGGACCTTTAAGGACCTGTTGGCTTTGTGAAGCCTTTCTAAGTGTTGCATCCCCATTGACCTCTGTCGGTGATATCAACCTACATTCCATTTGATTGGTGCTTTGTAACCTTTGATTTGATTGGTTGGCAGTTTCTTTGCCTGGTTTGATTGGTGTGAAGATTGAAAAGTGTTTCTTTGTATCAAAGGCTCGCTTTGTTATTGGTGTGGAGGTCACAGGGGACAGATCAGACTGGGAAGGGTCTGCATGATGACCAGGAATCACTGGTGTCCCCGGAATGAAGGAAGCATTTGGACTAAAAAGAAAAAGAAAATACTATTAATAAATGTAAACACAATAACAAGTGACAGGGGACTTAAAGCAAATCACTGACATTGCAAAATTACTGGGAGAAGAACATGAGAGACAATCATGGAAAGTGTGCTAGTGTCAATGTATAATTTATTTTAAGAATGCATACTTTTCACCTTACAATTTTTTTACCTGAGGAAAACTGTAAAAATCAAATAATGTCGAAAAAATACATGCAATGACTCCTATAAGACAAAATAAAGGGCGACTTGTAATAAACTTAGCACAGGCTTTGATAATGGGAAGACTTGTAATAAACTTAGCACAGGCTTGTAATACACTTAGCACAGGCTTTGATAATGGGAAGACTTGTAATAAACTTGGCACAGGCTTGTAATACACTTAGCACAGGCTTGTAATACACTTAGCACAGGCTTGTAAAACACTTAGCACAGGCTTGTAATACACTTAGCATAGGCTTGTAATACACTTAGCACAGGCTTGTAATAAACTTAGCACAGAGTTTGCTCAAGGTCAAACTAAGCAGTACTTAGTCTCTGTACGTTTTAGTTACGGGTAAGTTATCTGATGTAATTACAAGTCTATATCATACATAATCTGGTCAAAAATTGTAAAAATGAGGGTAAATCATTGGTCTCTTTCCAAAATTTTGACTTTGGAAACAAAACAGTACCATGCAACAAAAAAAAGGTGTGACTGACTGGACTTACTCAACTTTGGGCATATCCTTGATGCAGTTCTCTGTGAAGGTGCTGAGGGAGTCCATAGCGGTGAAAAATCCCTGGAACGGCCGCACTTTGTTTCTCATCCACTTAGAGAGACCTGGACAGAGTAATTCCAATTACATAGCAATATTATGTAATCATACTTGTATCTACTAGCATTTAATTATCTCAGAAACATCCAACAGAAGTGTTATTGCAACAAAACTTTGAAAGCAAATTCAAATTCTAGGTCCACTGGTGTTTGTTGTAAGTGTGTTTTACAGTGAAAGCTTGGTTTCTGATACAAGTATTTTAACACTAGTCACATGATGAACCACGTGCACTGTGAAACTGGTCAGTAAGCAGCAAGTTTAGAGGCCCAATCAAGACATCACAATATAATTCATAACAAATCATCTGCCTATTTGTAACCAAACTGAAGTGAGTTTGAGAAAAACAGCATGATTACTAATTTTTTTTTTTAATGAAGTCTTTAACTGTCAGAGATTTTTTTTTACCAGACTAAATGTATAAATCCAGTTTTCTTAAGTTTAGTCATTGTCACATCCGTTATTGTATTACTGAAACATAGCTTCAATACTCCAATGATATAAACATGAATGCCAAAGACACTCAATAAAAGAGCTGTAGACATCTTACCTTTACAGTACCTGGGACCATCTCTAACGAATCTCTCGTCCGCTAGGATCAGGGCTCCCCAGTCCTTCCTGTTACAATCCAGATTGACAGTCAATGTTTGCATTTAATCAAATATGAGGTTTATTAGATTTCTTGTCACAGTGATATAAACATGACTTTTCATTGATTTCTAGTCAGTGATATATATAAACATGAATTTTCTCTAATCATTGTGATATAGCCTTTCATTTCACCATGCAACTTGCCAAATATCACCACCCTAGACCTTTTGTTTCATGAGATTAGGTAATTTACATGTCTGACCAAAAGTGACCTTGAAAGTGGGTCAAGGTCATTCAAATGACTTGATAGCTCTTCATCCAAATATCAACATTCTGGGCCTCATGGTTATTCAGAAGAAGTCGTTTAAAGATTTTTAACCCCTGTGACCTTGAATATGAGTGAAGGCCATTCATTTGAACAAATTTGGCTGCCCTTCATCCAAGCCTGGTAATGGCCAGATATCATCATCCTGGGCCTTTTGGTTATTCAGAAGAAGCCATTTAAAGATTTAAAACATATTTGACCCATCCATGCAACCTTGAATATAGATCAAAGTCATTCATTTTTACAAACTTGGTAGCCCTTCATCCAAGCACGCTAATGGCAAAATATCATCCTGGCCCGCATGGTTATTCAGAGGATGTCGTTTAAAGATTTTAAATATATTTGACCCCTGTGACCTTGAATACAATTCAACATAATTTATTTGAACAAACTTTGTAGCCCTTCATCTCAGCATACTACTGGCAAGATATCATCACCCTGGGCCTTTTAGCTATTCAGAAGAAGTCGTTTAAAGATTTAAAACATATTTGACCCCTGTGACCTTGAATACAGGTCAAGATAATTCTTTATAATAAACTTGGTAGCCCTTCATCCTAGCATGCTACTGGCCAGATATCATCACCCTAGGACTTTTGGTTATTCATAAGAAGTCGTTTAAATATTTCAAACATAATTGACCTCTGCAACCTTGAATACAGGTCAAAGTCATTCATTTAACAAACTCGATAGCCCTTCATCCTAGTATACTACTGGCCAAATATAATCATCCTGGACCTTATGGTTATTCAGAAGAAGTTGTTCAAAGGTTTTCAAAGACAATTGACCCCTGTGACCTTGAATATGAGTGAAGGTCATTTATTTGAACAAAATTGGTAGTCCTTCATCCAAGCATGCTACTGGCGAAATAGCATCACCCTGAGCATTTTGGTTATTCAGAAGAAGTCATTAAAAGATTTTAACTTCGAATTTTCTCTAGTCACCGAGATATAAACATGAATTAATTGAATTTGCTCTAGTCACTGTGATATAAATTTAATAAACATCAGGTTTCTTTGTTTTCAAGACGAGGTGATATAAAAATGATTATTTTAAAGATTTCTAGTCACTGTGATATAAACATGAATTTTCTTAGATTTCTAGTCACTGTGATATAAACATGAGGTTTCTGAACTTTTTACACTCTGTCTGACCAACCTGTGTCTTAAACAACGACCAAGGGCCTGGTTTAGTGCCCTGAAGGCTTGTATCTCGTACCACTCCCCTCCAGACAACAATCCTCTTGTATTCTTGTGCATGTCATTATATTCTTTCTTCAACTTTACCTGACACAAGAAAATGAAACAAGAGCTGTCGTAGAACATCATAGCTAGTCTATTGCCAACATGTTAAATGTTAAAATTTCAGTGATTCTCATTTTATGAATGTCCATGCATATACACTAAAATAGTTTCAACATAAGGAAATTATTAACTTTACTTTCTGTCAAAACTATAATACTCTTAATTCAGTACTTGCAACAAAACTATAACTAAGTTCAAACATGCCCTTGTGGGCCTTTGCGGTGCTTTACAGAGTGTTGGTCTTAACATATAAAAATAATTCAAAATGATCATATTATGAAGAAATTTGTTCACTTCATAATAAGACCCCCCCCCCCCCCCCCCCCCT